CAGTCTGAGTTGGCCACTCCAGACCCCGTGCGAAGTTCGAAGTTCCTCCTTCCCCAGTCCCCGCTCCTTCCCCGCTTGTTGACCCCGAAAGTGATCACTGCAAAGCGGAGAATGTGGAAAGGCGTCCGAAGCCTCCAAATTGCCCGGACGTCAAAACGGGTTTGCGCTTGTAGACTTTTTAGACTTGGCGGAAGCTGATTTAGCCCGCCATTTTGCTTGCTGGTTGAACCAGCTGAGCAAAGCCCTTGCTTTCGTTGAGTTCGACCAAGGTGATTGTGCCGGTAACTCTGCCGAACGCCACCTTCGTGTCAATGGCGGTGGTCTCGCTGCCAAGCTCGAGCCTTTGGCGATGCCTTCGGCTAAGAGACTGCTAAGCACGGATCCGGCGATTTGCTCAGTGGCACAGCTGTGTCCTGTGCGATCTGCCATGTAGGCTGGTTTTTTCAAAGGGGCACGCTGGATAAAAACGAAAGAAAGCAAAGGAGCACCCAGGATTCCATTGCCCTTTTTGTTTTTTGTTTGGAGTTCTGCGTCGTGACACACCTGTCGTCGGGTCAGGAACTCGAGCTACCTGAGCGTGGACGTGCCGTCTGATCCCACGGTGCCTGCCATCGCCATTCCCGCCACGTTCCTGAGCTCAAATTCAGAAAGGGCGGTTCTCGAGCCACGTGTTCGTCGAGACCCGCTTCGGCGCGGTTCGTGTTTGGGCCCTGGAAGATGGGAGGTAATGTTGAACCCCGTATTTTATAATCCCCCCCCCTATTAGTCCGGTCTGGGTGACCCCCCCCAAGACTAAGCAATTCATAACTCAGAAAATACCTCCAAATTCCCCCCCCAATTAAACCTGTCCCTCCCCCAGATGGCTGCTGCTATCTCATTTTCTCCACTGCTTGTTGAAGATTGTGGACTCATGCTGCTTGCCATGCTTTCTCTGGATGGTGTCCTGACAAGGTGCTTTGGCTCAAATGGGCTCATGCTTTCTTCTGGTACCTTTCTCTTCCTGCTGCTGCCTTGCTTAGGGCTCTCATCTCCACCTCCTACTCTCATTTTGAAGCTTGGTGGATGCTTTTGCGCCTGCCCAAACCACAAAACAAAAAGTGTTCTGAGATGGTCGATTTCTTATTAAATCCTTTACTAAAAAAATCAAGTTAGAAGGTTTCAAATGGTACCACACATTAGCCCCTTACACCCCCAATTAATAAACCCCCCTAATTAGTGCGGTCCATCGGCCCCACCCCCCAAAAAAAGACAACCAGGCCTTCTCAGTACTAAATCAAATGGAAACTCAATTCCAGATCTCACAAGGAAGCCCCAGCAATACTAAATCAAATAAAAACTCAAGTCCAGATCTCAAAAGGAAGCTCCAGCAATACTAAATCAAATGGAAACTAAATTCCTGATCTCAAAAAGAAGAGATAAAAATACTAAATCAAATGGAAACTCAATTCGAGATCTCAAAAGGAAGCTCCAGCAAATGGAAACTCAATTCCAGATCTCAAAAGGAAGCTCCAGCAATACTAAATCAAATGGAAAGTCAATTCCAGATCTCAAAAGGAAGCTCCAGCAATACTAAATCAAATGGAAAGTCAATTCCAGATCTCAAAAGGAAGCTCCAGCAATACTAAATCAAATGGAAACTCAACTCCAGATTATTTAGGGGGGGTGGCAAAAAACCTTCCAACATTTTGCCCCCCAAAACCTTTCCGACCTTCGAGGGGGGTTACATACTAATACGGGGTCAACATTATTTCTTTTATTGCCTAGTTTGAAGAGAATGGCTGCGGGAATGTGTTTTCCAGCAGTTGATGTGTTCTTGCTGTGTAACTTGCAAACTGTTTGCATGTCCGTGGACGTGTGAGTGTGTGTATTGTGTTGAGCTGCTCTTGCCGTTGCTGGCAGCTATCGTTTGGCGTTTTTTTTGAGTTGCTCTCAGTGGACGCTTTGCCAAGCTTGCAGCTTGCCTGTAGTGTGCATGCAGCACTGGGCCATGAGGGTGTTGACCATCTCATTTTTTCAGCGTGGCGCAAGCTGGACAGACATCAAAGGCTGACTGTACAGGTCGACATATGAAGCCATGGCCGTTTTGGACCTTTTCAGGATAATGAAGCAAGAACTAACGGTTCATGAACTCACAAACTGGGGGTTGCTATTTGGGGTCCATTTATTACATTCAGCCTTTGAAGATATGAGCAACGGTCAATGTTTGTCAATGTGTGTGACATCGGCCACACTCACCCAACACCATTAGGAAAGGTGTACTCTTTTGGGCGGGGGATGCATGGCTACAAGGCCAGGGATACCAGACTACTAGATCCAGGTTTGCCTTTGTCCAGCCTTATACAACCAAAAGCCACACAAAAAGACGGTTGCAGAGAAAACAGGAACTCACAACTCCCCGTAAAATTATTCGCTACTTGTAAGGTCCTCAGTGATGTATATAGCGCCAAACACCCGTGCAGTGAAGGTCTCTTTTTTGTTATTGTTTGTTTGCACATTTCCCTTGTGGAAGGCCCTCGCAGGACTTAATTGGTTGCCGCCGGTTGCTCGCTTTGTTCGCTGGCTGGGGATTGTGTTGGCAACTTCCTTTGCTGTTGTTCAAGGGCCCCACAAGTGTTGGATGGGGGGTCTCCTGATGCAATCATTCTTTTGTTTGCACCCTTTCCTTTTGGACGGACCCTTGGCTTGCCTCCGTTGGTTCACGTTCTGTTTCTAGCTGGGGATGTGAGTGAGTTTTCGTTTGCAGTAGACCCCGTTCGTCCAGAGGGAAGTTAGCTTGTGAAATAGGACCGTCTGAGTATCACCCAACGCAAAGTCCAGATTCGTGGAGGGGTAACAGGTCAAGAGTCCAAGAGGGAGGTTGTGTCCGCCGCTCTGTTTGTAGTCGACGGATTTGCGCACCACAAGTGGCGTGAGTTTCCACGGTGCTTTCAGGAACTGCTCGCGAGGGTGATTTTGTGAGCAAAAGAAACATGGTGTTGCGAACGCCGTTGCGCACGCGAAACACTTTGTTCAGTTGCAGCACAGTCTGCGGTTTTGCCCAGTCTGGTGCTGGGCCTCACTTGCTCTGAGCGGCTTCTGTCGGTGTCTCCGCGCCTGTTGCTCCTCACATGTCCTTTGCATTTGCTTACGATGTGTCCTCACAGCGCAGCGTGTGATGCAAGGCGAAGCGAAACATCTAGTTTGTTGAGGACACAAAACAATAGTACAAAAGATAGGGGGGCTACCCAATAGAACCTTAACTGCAAGTAATATGTATGTTCGTGATACAGTTGGAAGCTTGTGATTTCGTTTGTTTAACCTATGCGCGAGCTGATTTCCAAGGCTCGCAGCTGGCAGCGCTGCTATGCTGATGGCAGGGAGCTCAGTTCGTCCGGCCTTGCGGGTAGCCCTTAGCTTCAGGCAGCCCCAAAAATGTTGAGCCCGGATCAATAAACCCCTGATGAATATGGGGGTGTTGCTGGTTTTAGTGGGATTCGCCACTTTTGGAGGGGAAAACCCCCATATGAATAAATGGTAGTTTGCATGGGCAGCTTGGGGATACAAACCCGGTTCTTATAGAGGGCAATTGGAAACCACACCTAACCTTGTAGAGGGCAATTGGAAACCGCCCCTAAGCTCCAAGCCACCAATCCAGGAAAGAGAGGGAAGCTGAAAAGATGCCATGTTTCTCCTTGGGCAATGTAGAGTGCCCCTTTGCTCTTTCTGACCAACCCAAACAGAGGCCCCTAAGTATCCCAATTTTTGCCTGACCTTCAACAGTGGCATTCCCCATTGGATCGCACCAGTAACTTGATGACGGGGAATCCGGTGACAGAAAGATCCGAGAGGAATGGTTTTGGCTTGTGCCGTTTTTGGTAGGAAAGAAACGTGTGCGAGTGGTATTTGCGTTGTGTAATTTATGGCATCAGGTCGGTGACATCAGAAACGTTCACCAAATTACCCTTAGAACATTTCGGTTGCCCACCCCCCTGTTCATGATCCAATGTCTTTGGTGGCTCAAATGGAGCTCGTGCGGGCTTCTCCCCAGGAGTCTTCGCGAAGTTTCTGCTTGCTTGCTCTGTGGTTTCACCAACATGGAGATTCAATCATCAAGGAATTCATAGCAATTCTCGGCAAGGACCCAGTTTTGGACGCAAACATCCGCAAAATGCCGCAAACGCCTTGAAACAGGGAACACCCACAAATTTATGCAAAACACCCGCAAAAAGTGGCAAACACCCGGAAAAAAGGCACAAGTAAGCAAAACGCCTAGAACGCCTAAAACCGCCTAGGAGCACGATACTTAGCAAACCTACCTTTTTCAGGGACAGATTGACCAACCCAGTCTGAGGCAACCATTCTAGTGCCCAGCGACTTCGGGCAACTAGAACAGTAGGTTCTTTTGCCGGATGTGAAGCCGGGCATGCTCAAGCAAGCATGTTGAATCGGACAAGTTTTTCGTTTTCATGGTGACCCCTGATCACTAGACTCCCAGTTATCGATCAGCGCGCTTACTGTTGAAAGAACCACCTAATTGACAACTGCGAGAGTGGGAATCACTGGTCGGCATTGCGGGACGTGAGGTCACAAAGCTTGCATCAAGTACCGAATCCGCCACCAACCTGCCGGCGACGATGCAAGTTGGAGCGACTCTTGGACAGAGAGACATATCTTGGATAGAGACAACTCTTGCATGTTGACCTGGGCTCCAAGAAAGCAAGTTTGGCGATGTGGCAGCAAACTCCTCGAAAGGTTTCTTTGCGGGGGTTCGAGGCAAGCGGAGTTCCCAAGCCTTTGGCTTCCTTGGCTTCGCCGCGATCTGGCCACGGGTCATATCCTATGCTTCCATTTTCGGGGCGGATCAACACCCATGTACCACCTAGTTTCATGTTCACCAGGGGTTTTGTTGGGTTTTGACCAGCCATATCTCCGTTTCCCAACCCAAAACTCTGTTGCCCAAAGCGAATCGACCTTTTCACCTTTGTTTCTTCTCCTTTTTGGTCTAGTTTAGTCATGGCCACCCAAAAGGCGATCACCTTTTATTTCTGGGTCCCAGCAAGTGAGTTAAAAGCCAGGCGGATTTTGCGGACTCGCTGGTTAGAAAGTGCCTTCCAGGGGCATCTACACTGCGATGGACTATCCCGAAAGGACTATCCCCATTCCGGAAGATGTAGAGCCACCTCTCCGATTTCCTACGTCAGGGGGGGTCTCAAAATAGGGATCCGGCCAGATCCTTTTAGGTGTGAAGTAACAACTGAGTCACGTGCTCAAAACCTGAGACGAAGCTTAGCAAGGGACACTCCCAGCCATAAATAGCTGCGGAACATTCCGCCTTCGTGTTTCCTTACATGGTTCTGGGTCAACCATTTTAATACCGGGTTTTGATTGTGACTCAAGTGATATGGTTCGTTGATCCCAGTCTTGTGATTCCAGTTTTATCCCAGCCGAACTTGTTGAGGTACACCCAGATGAGATTCTGGGTGCCAGACCCCAGGTTCTAGATTGGCTTGATTCCAGTGGATTCCCTTTTTGGGTTCATCAACCCCCATTTTCCGACTCACTCGTTAAAGGTGCCTTCCCTTTTATTGGACCGTCCCTAAGCCATTGGCTTCGTTGGTTTTTCAGTCCGCTTTTTGGCGATCCCGGAGCTCCGGTGCAGTGCAGATCTCAGGCAGGTGGCCTTGCCGTCCACTTCGCAGCTGTGGAGCGTGGCGGACCAGGTGCTCGATGCGCCTCAGCCAAACGGCGCGGGGAGAATTATCCCGGGCCAGGAGTTCTAGGGGCAGTTTTTTCCATTCTGAGCCCAGGGATCCGAATCTTTCAGGAAAACCAATGAAAAGAACGAGGGCTGAAAGTGGGGAATCAACCTACTAGAGTAGTGCTTGGGACGGTTCCCCCACTAAAATAGACTACAGAAAAGAAGGGTACCCTTATTCTAACCTCTCTACTGGAGGACCTTGCACAATTAAGTTTCAGGTCAGTTTCAGGTGACAGGTGTTCAGATGAATTCAGCTCCCAGGCGGCTGATTTCGTACAAACATGTGCTCCTGGTCAGTTCTGGTCATGAGCTAGAGCAGCGCTTGCGGTTGCATGTCATCCATGCTTCTTGCATTTGCAGTCCTAAAATCGGGGATCCCCTTGGCCCTAGAAAATCGCGGATCCCCTTTGGCCCTAAAAAGTCGTGGATCCCCTTTGGCCCTAGAGAATCGTGGATCCCCTTTGGCCCTAGAGAATCGTGGATCCCCTTGGGCCCTAGAAAATCGTGGATCCCCTTGGGCCCTAGAAAATCGTGGATCCCCTTTGGCCCTAAAAAGTCGTGGATCCCCTTTGGCCCTAGAGAATCGTGGATCCCCTTTGGCAAAAGAAAATCGTGGATCCCCTTGGGCCCTAGAAAATCGTGGATCCCCTTTGGCCCTAAAAAGTCGTGGATCCCCTTTGGCCCTAGAAGAATCGTGGATCCCCTTTGGCCCTAGAAAATCGTGGATCCCCTTGGGCCCTAGAAAATCGTGGATCCCCTTTGGCCCTAAAAAGTCGTGGATCCCCTTTGGCCCTAGAAAATCGTGGATCCCCTTTGGCCCTAGAAAATCGTGGATCCCCTTGGGCCCTAGAAAATCGTGGATCCCCTTTGGCCCTAGAAAATCGTGGATCCCCTTTGGCCCTAGAAAATCGTGGATCCCCTTTGGCCCTAGAAAATCGTGGATCCCCTTTGGCCCTAGAAAATCGTGGATCCCCTTTGGCCCTAGAAAGTCGTGGATCCCCTTGGGCCCTAGAAAATTGTGGATCCCCTTTGGCCCTAGAAAATCGTGGATCCCCTTTGGCCCTAGAAAATCGTGGATCCCCTTTGGGGCCCTCCCCTTTGTGGATCCCCTTTGGATCCCTTTGCCCGTGGAGCCCTAGAAAATCGTGGATCCCCTTTGCCCTAGAAAATCGTGGATCCCCTTTAACCCTAGAAAATAATGGATCCCCTTTGGCCCTAGAAAGTCGTGGATCCCCTTGGGCCCTAGAAAATTGTGGATCCCCTTTGGCCCTAGAAAATCGTGGATCCCCTTTGGCCCTAGAAAATCGTGGATCCCCTTTGGCCCTAGAAAATCGTGGATTCCCTTTGGCCCTAGAAAATCGTGGATCCCCTTTGGCCCTAGAAAATCGTGGATCCCCTTTGGCCCTAGAAAATCGTGGATCCCCTGTGGCCCTAGAAAATCGTGGATCCCCTTTGGCCCTAGAAAATCGTGGATCCCCTTTGGCCCTAGAAAGTCGTGGATCCCCTTGGGCCCTAGAAAATTGTGGATCCCCTTTGGCCCTAGAAAATCGTGGATCCCCTTTGGCCCTAGAAAATCGTGGATCCCCTTTGGCCCTAGAAAATCATGGATCCCCTTTGGCCCTAGAAAATCGTGGATCCCCTTTGGCCCTAGAAAATCGTGGATCCCCTTTGGCCCTAGAAAATCGTGGATCCCCTTTGGCCCTAGAAAATCGTGGATCCCCTTTGGCCCTAGAAAATCGTGGATCCCCTTTGGCCCTAGAAAATCGTGGATCCCCTTTGGCCCTAGAAAATCGTGGATCCCCTTTGGCCCTAGAAAATCGTGGGATCCCCTTTGGCCCTAGAAAATCGTGGATCCCCTTTGGCCCTAGAAAATCGTGGATCCCCTTTGGCCTAGAAAATCGTGGATCCCCTTTGGCCCTAGACGATCGTGGATCCCCTTTGGCCCCTAGAAAATCGTGGATCCCCTTTGGCCCTAGAAAATCGTGGATCCCCTTCGTGGCCCTAGAAAATCGTGGATCCCCTTTGGCCCTAGAAAATCGTGGATCCCCTTTGGCCCTAGAAAATCGTGGATCCCCTTTGGCCCTAGAAAATCGTGGATCCCCTTTGGCCCTAGAAAATCATCCCCTTTGCCCTAGAAAATCGTGGATCCCCTTTGGCCCCCTTGGAAAATAGAAAATTGGATCCCCTTTGGCCCTAGAAAATCGTGGATCCCCTTTGGCCCTAGAAAATCGTGGATCCCCTTTGGCCCTAGAAAATCGTGGATCCCCTTTGGCCCTAGAAAATCGTGGATCCCCTTTGGCCCTAGAAAATCGTGGATCCCCTTTGGCCCTAGAAAATCGTGGATCCCCTTTGGCCCTAGAAAATCGTGGATCCCCTTGGGCCCTAGAATCAACACGCCCATATGGGAGGCTTATGAATTCATTTTGAGCGGCGTCTAGTTCTCGGCTCGCGCGCGAGGTGTCCCTCGTGGACTTGGATGCTTATTCAGCTGTATCCGTTGTGGTTTCCTGACCGCAGAGTGCCCATGGCCCGGGCCCGGACAGTCTCTCCGAGGCCTAAGTCGTCTAAGTGGTCTTGCGATGGTACGCATGGAATTCCGGGGGTGGCTTTCCCGTCTCAATCATGTCCCAAGGTTTGCAAACAGGGTCCAAGTGTTTTGACAACATCGGGGTTCGAAAACAATCAGCATATCCTTTGGCGGTTTGCCAGATCCATAGAAAATCACCAGCTCGCTTTTGGAGGCAATCATCTGAGAGAATGATTGTTCTTGGAATGCATTTCTTGTTTTGCCTGTTTCGATTGGCTGCAACAGTTAACATGGAGAAGCCAATCTGAGAGAGTCTGGCATAGCGGCCGGGTGAAAAACATGTCACCTAGCCAGCGTCTGGCATATTGGTGTACGTTGTTTTGGGGGGGGGGGGGTACGTCTTTTTTTGAGGAGCCCACCCCCCAAAAAAGGTTGTCAAAAAAAAAGAGGCTCCCATATGCTGCGGCCCCTGCGCCCACCCTGGCCCAGCCAAGCCCACTCCTGTGGCACCCTCATGAGGTCTGTCAAAAGTATCCTGCAACCTACAAGAGATTCCAACGACAAGAGAGCGGTGCAGCCAGTTCGCTATCATCTAGGTCTCCCAGTAGTGACCTTTTACCCTTTTTTGGGGGAGAGTGCCCCTACTAAAATAGACGACAGAAAAATGGTACCCTTATTCTATCCTCTCTACTGGAGGACCTAGCCACGCACGTTTGTGTTGAGCCCAGGCTCGACTTTTTAGGATGACCATTTTAGTTGCAATTGGACTTTTTCCGGCCAGCCCACTCAGGAAGTAGGGTCATCAAGATCCCAATGCCCCGATATGTGAAGCGGTGTGGTGTATTTGCTGACGGATCGAGTTCCGCCCTTGGCTGAGGATGTGCAGAATTCCCCGGATCCAATCATCATGAGGCGGATTCGTTGGCTGAAATTTCGTCAGGTAGCTGGTTGCAGATTTCACGATACGGCTTGCATGGACTGGGGCTCAATTGTTTGCTTCAGCCGGTTTCTGGACTTGCAACTTGGGACGATCATTTTACGTGAATCCTATATGAAATTGTGTCCCAACACAAGTTTCCTACTTGAGGGGGTCTCAAAATAGGGATCCGGCCAGATCCTTTTAGGTGTGAAGTACAACAACTGAATCACAATCAAAACTCGGGTAGATGAAAATGTTTAAGTGACAATCCCAACCATGAATAGCTGCGGATTTCCGCCTTAATTCTTTACATGGTTCTGAGTAGACCTCAAAATATATCGGGTTTTGATTACTCCTTTTAGGTGTGAATTGCAACACACCGCAGGAATTGCGGCCACCGATTTTTCAGGTTTGGCCAAAAGGAGCAGACCGTTTTGCAGTTTTGGCACACATGGCGACGAGGTCCTTTGGTTCCCCCAGGATCGTGCCCTCTTTTTCCGACCCTTTTTTTGGGGGATCGAGGGTTCCCCTACTGGAAAAAATATGCAGCAAAAAAAGGGTACCCGTGTATTCTCACCTCTCTACTGGACCTAGAATGTGTTCTTCCACGGGTTCCTGCCAAAAGATTCATCTCTTTTTTTTTGTGTTATCATGCAGTTGGCAGGATCGCTGCAACCACCTACTCGGATGCCATTTGCGCCTACCTGGATGCGAACGAGGAGTGGTCACAAGCCCCTCGGCCAAGTCTGTGGTACCTGGCATTGGGATGGCCAACTTGCGGACGGACGAAATCCACCCTCGGCACTTGGTCGGTGGTTTACCCCCGTTTCGCATTTTTCGGGTTTCAGGCAATCCAACCGGTGCGAAATGAAGTTTGTCCATCCGGCGGAAATTCGCGAATGTCGAAACTAGGGGATTTGCTCGGCAAGACACAGAAGCTTCCCATCAGACTGTGACCCTTCGGAGGCGGAGGCGTGCTCTAGATTCAAAGGGCGTCCGAAAAAGTGAGGGTGAATCGGGTGCAACTCGAGTTGATTGAATGTGGAGATCGCCAATTATTTCGAGGCTCAGGTGTTTTGGTCGAGATCTTGGGCAGTCTGGTTGCAAGGCAGCCTGTCATCCTGTCAGGCCGGCGTGTATTGGCCATCAGATGCAGAGATCCGGGCAAGCTTCGGCGACGCCGCTGGGACGAGAAATATCTGGAGACGCGTTGAGCAACGGACACATGCCCTTGAAACCCCCGCAAGCCAGTCTCCAAAGACCTCCACACAGTTTGGCGGTTATAAGGCAATTTGCGGAAAATGCCACATTAAGGCGGATGTTCGGGGGGTGATGCTTCATACCTTTGCACTTTACTCGACCGATCTCGAGTTTCATTTGAAGTGTTGAGTTTGTTTGAACAAACACGGACAGGGTCGTTCATCTTACAACAAGATCATGAGCTGTTTGCAGCTCTGAGGTTGGATCTAGCTTCTTTTCCTTGTTACTTTCGCGGGCACTTGGCAAAAAGTCCACCGCACTCGGGTGGTCGGCACCATCTTTCCCAGCCAAGTTGCTTTCCCATCCTGTTCACAAGGGCTCCTTAAACATTGCGCAACCAGTTGAAACATGTTGCTTTCTCCACCAAAATAAAGTGAAACCTCCATTTACAAGTTGCAATGTTCAGGTTTATTTACAGGCGGCAGTGACTTGGATCCCTGAACTCACGTTTGCCATTCTGAAGTGCTGTGTTTGTCTCGTTCCGATAAAAATCGAAGATGAGCATGGCCCCTGCGCGAGGATGACATGCACAAATCGAGAAGTGAAAACAAGTTGTTTCCTTTCGCCATGTCTTCCCTTTGCTTATTTGTGTGTTTTGTTTTTTGACCTTGTTGGTTTAAAAGGGAATCTATCACTGCGTTGTTTTTTTCCTCCAGCGGCAGAAACGCAAATTGCAGACTAGGTCCCTTTGGTCCTAAGCCAAACGATCCTCAATTTGACCCTTCATCCAAGGCTCGACAGGAGCCTTGTAGCTAGAGATCTTCCTCTTTTTTTTCCACCTAGCAGCCATGCAGTGGGCATCTTTCCTGGATCCATGTAGCTGTGTAGGTAACCAAGGGAACCATTTGAAAACCAAAAGGAAGATGGCCAGTTCCCTCCTAGATATCTGGGATCCACTGGCCGGGCTGGATGGCTTCGAAGACGAGACGGTTGTTTCCTCCCAGACTGGGCTTGCAAAGGTGCGCCACAGGATGGAGTGTAACGCCTGATTGCCACGCAGGTGTGTTGCTTTGAGGCGGGCACAAATCGGCCCGTCTCACTTTGTGCCGCATGCAGGAATTCCTGGTGTTTAACTGCATTGTCTCAGGGGTTTACCCGGCAAACAGGTTCAGATTCCATGGACATTGTGGTTGAAGAGCTTGACTTGAGCTTTGAAATCAGTAGATTACGAATTTGGATGTATGGCCCTGCGTTTCTCATGGTGGACCCACGAAAGCTGCTTCCTCTTTTTTCTGAGACCTCAATACATGTGACATCTGCGGGCCCATGGGCCCATTTCTGGCAACGCAGCCATGACGCCATCCCCTTTTTCCTCGCTGTCCGCTTGAAGCCATGTTCGCGGGTCACTCTCGTTTCGGGGCGCGCGCATGCGTCGCGCGTTTTTTCTTCTTCCTTTTTTGTTTCTTCTTTAAAAAATAACGAGAATCCGAGGATGCGGACTTGGGAGGTTCGTGGTGTGCGTCTTCCCACCTCTCGGTCTTCACGATCCTCGTGGCCGTCGTGGCCCAGCTGCAAGCCCAGCCGGCGCTGGGGCCTGGAACTGGCCTTCGGCTGGGGGGGAAGTTTCGGGCACGAATCGCGACAACGGGACCACATGTGTATGTAATCATGTGTAATAGTATACATATATATATGTATATATGGTCAAAATGTGTGATACTGCATATATATATATATATCTATACACCGCATAAATGACAGATTATATCATGTTTATATACTAACATATCAAAGATGTTGACCGCATATAGTGTATGTATATTATGGATACATGGTCTCGCCTCAGAAGAGGTGCCGGGCTTGGGGCCAAATTGTGGCAGGGAAGCAGCACAGCAACTTCAGGAAGTGCGCACATCGAGTGTAGAGAGGCTGCTCTCTGATTTGATCTTTGAGCTTCACTGAGGTAGAAAAACACAAAGTGCCCACTCGCAAGAGAGTTGGTTGCGGTCGGTTTGACCAGCCTCAATATAGATTTGGTTGGGGGCGAGAGGGGGGGGCAGATGTGTAAAGATTGGTTCTAGCAGATTGATCAATCCTTTCCCCAAAGTGCTCCGGCTTGCCCAAGTGGGACACCTATATTATTTAATACACAAACAAACATACTCTAATATATATATATATATAGATGGTACCCTCTCCCATGGACCCTGGTTTGGTGCGGTTGACCTGTATATATATATATATATTATTTACCTGAGTTTGAAAAACCAAAACCATTTAAACACAACAACGGTCATGAACAAATTAGTGATACAATTAATGTTGTAATAGGTGTAGCCGAATGCCGACGGATTCCGGCGGCGCTGGGCTGGCGTGAGCGCGTCAGATCAGGTTGCGATCTAGGCACCTAATCTCTTCCCCCTATTAATAAATACGCCCCCCCCCCCCCCTATTATAAATAAATCCCCCCAAAAAATATGTGTTTTTTTTTTTTGGGGGGGGTTGCTTTTCCAACAATGTGAGGGTTCACATAGGATTTGGAGGAAATGGATTGAATTGTAAGGTCCGCGAGTAAGCGGTTTAATAAGGAAATTGTATGTATCATTCTATTTGTTCTTCACTTTACTGGTTGTTTGTTTGCAGCCAGGCTGGTTAATTAGCCAGCATGTACAGGAGAGAGACAGTCAGAGCTAGACAGCTTTTGGGGACATGTTTTCTTTTGAGGGACACCACCCCAATAAAGGACCCTATAAAAAACAAATGGGGTGCAGCGAGTCAGGGAGTCAAGGGACAACCAGGGACAACCTTTTGGGGAGAGAGTCAAGGACAACCTTTTGGGGAACCCACCAAAAGGACCCAACCTTTTGGGGAAGCCAGCTTTTGGGAAGCAACCTTTTAGGGAATTCATCTTTTGAGGAACCCACCTTTTTAAAAGTGGGGCTGGAAGCTTGTTAAAAGTGCCCCCTAATAAGGATTCCAAGACTTTAGTATTGGTTTAGTATTGGCGCAATGGAAAATCAATTGTGCGGAGTGGAAATCTGGTCCCGGGCCCCGGATTTCCATTTTTTATTAATGGGGGTCATTCATTAATAGGGGGAAGAGATTAGCGCGAGGAGTCTCAAGGTCGTTTCCCTTGCATTCCATGCAAGGAATCATATTTCGGAATTGGGTTGGCGGCTGGCGAAGTCCCGGCTTAGACCCCAAACTCCACGTCTAAAACAGAGGGCACCTTTCCGAGAAGATCTTCATTCGTACTTTCACCTAGGTCCCCCAGTAGTGCCCTTTTACCCCTTTTTGTTTGGAAGGGTTCCCCTACGAAAATAGACTACATAAAAAATCGGTTACCCTTATTCTAACCTCTCTACTGGAGGACCTAGTCACGGTGCCCTTGCATTTCCCGTAAGTCAAAAGTTGTTGCGCTTTCTCTTGCGCTCAGGCTGGTCCCTGCGAGTTCGGGGACTATTTCAATTTCGGCGGCGACTGCTTCGATATAACCATCGTTGCAGCGGTTATAGGGACCCGTGGCGAATTCGAGGAACGCCTTCCCATGTTTGTATCATTTCTCCTTTTTTTGGCCTTGATTTGTTCAGATAGTTGGCGCGTCCGACGGGTTTTTGATTTGTGCAGTTTGCTTTTGCATGTTGTGAGTCCATAGGTGTCCTTTTTGGTTGTTTTGCTCGAAAAATCGATGGCGATTCCTGGTTTACCTGGTAGTTCAATCATCTACCAGAGAAACCCATCTATTTCCAACCTCAAAGGACACCTATGGTTGTGACTGTTTTGCGATGTCACGTGCTACGCACTTGAATGTGTTTCGACGATCGCTTGCACCCTCCGCGCGTTTACCAAACTGATCCAAACGACGTGTGCAAAGATCCCCCCTAACTCGCTATGGGATGTTTCTCCAAGAAATTGCCCCCAAGACGGCATCGAGTTCCTTTGGGTTTTTTTTGGATACCAAGAAAGGTCCTCCATTTTGAGCCACCGTAACTCAGCGGATGTCGCTATATGACTCTTGTTAGCGACCGGTAGCAGCGTCAGATTTCGGCGGAACTCCGAGGGGCCCGATTGGCTTTTGCTGCCTCTGCTGGTGCATCATTTGTGGCTCGGCGGTCCAGTCAACGGTCGGGTGCTCCACGTGGCTTGAAGCTGAAAGCTGGCTTTCCGAGCCAGGACCCAACAAAGGCCAGAAGCCCCACCAAAAGACATGTAAACCATTGGACAACGGGCAGAATTGGAAGGCCATTTCCGTTGAAATGATCGGAGCATGCAGCCAGTTGTCCAGCTGCGCCAGTTTTCACGTTTTCGGTCCAGAGCAAAAGCCAAATCGATCGCATTGTGAAGAATCAAATTGGCATGCCCGTATCAGATCGACATGTGAACCCAACCCAATTTGAAGAGCGCAAGCAAGCCGTGCGAGTACTTTTGTGATTTGCACTCTTTGTGCTAGTCTTTTGCGCAGGTTGAAAGCGGGCAACAATTCCTTACATGCGAAGACCCGCTTTTGAATTGCTAAAAGAGAAACAGCTGGAAAGTAAGCGTGGGCTTTTTGGGTAGCTTTAAAGGGGAACAATAGCGTGGTGTTACCTGGTTAGGAAGCACTCGCACATCACGTACTGTTTCCTCGAGAGCTTCCCAAGTACTGATTCCCAGAACACTTTCTCTTGGCAACTTAAATTGGCAAAGGAAGGCATCGTAAATAGACGCCCAGGTTGCATCAAATGCCGACGACCAACAAAGGGCAAGATGAAGCTGAAAGATAGCAAGGGCTCAGCGCAGGAGCACCTGATGGGTCACTGTTAACTGAATATGGCAGCTAAAATTACGAGGAATTGGACCGGTCTTAGTCCTTTCCGTGTAAGCCATTTTGGGGTTACCCTTTGACAAAACCACAGAGCCATCCGGGCCGGTTACAGGGTCGTGTTTCGTTACTGGAAGGCGCCGGGTCGGTTGGTTTCCCTGGCGCGCCAGGGTTCCGTTCCTCCAGTCCACCGGGAAAACAGAGCTAGAAATCCATGGGCCTCTTCACTGGGCTTCCGATAGATACGCCGATGCCGGCTTGTGGCTGAAATGAAGATGTGTTTTTCTTAAACCCCCCTGTGTGTTGAACCCGGGAATCGATATCACTGGAAAGATGCTGAAATTATTTTCAGGGGGCGAAAAAACAAGTTTTGAAGCAGAAGGGTGCGCCCTGGGCCCTGGGTTTTTTGCACCCAAGCGCTTCATGATTTCATGTGATTTGCCTACTTGGAAACCCCAAACCGAAAAAAACACCCCCTCTCAATGAAAGACAGTTGCTTTTTCTGGCTCCATCCTACGGAGCAGAGGCTCTGTGGCCATGAGGCCCCCCTTGCCCAGTCTGCTCGCGGGACTGTAGTCTCTGCCCCGTGGATTCCGCCCCTTGCAACTTTTGTTGGGCGGTTTGGGTTCCCCTTTAAAGCCAACCAACGGAGAAAAGAAAAAGAAAAGGAAAAACACTGAAGAGAAAAAACACACGGACGCCTGCTTGCCCATTTCCACTGGGCATCTGAGTAGTCTGCAACCTTATGTGTCCAAAGTTAGGCATAGCGACACTGAAGGGCTGTATTGGGAATCAGCCGCACAGGACATATGGCCGGATGGGGAGTTTCTGGTGTCAATATGAGGATGAAGCATGGTGACTGGCCACTCACCTTGCACAGGGGGTGGATAGGTCAACCGGTCAACCTGAAGCCTATCAAATGTTGCCCGTGCGACACGGTGCGATTCCTTTGGACTGCATGAACCCCCAAAAACCATTTGGGCGTGGGTCAAACATAGGTACCCAAATGGAACCCTGGTAAATGGAAAAGTTGACTAAAACCTGCGGTCCCCTGGTGGTTTGATTTTGACCCATACCTTACCCATTTGTCTCAAGCTGTTCCATGTTGATCTCTCATTGCTTTGACCAGCATGGATTCCACGACCTGATTCGCTTGGCCGGGTGCAAAATTACACCTGGGTTGCCGCGCTCGGCGTCTTTTTCCCCCGCGCAAAACTCGCGCGCAAAGGCGCTAACATAGGTGTCCTTTTTGATTGTTTTGCTCGAAAAATAGATGGCGATTCCTGGTTCACCCGGTTGCTTTTTCTCATCTAGCAGGGACACCCATCTATTTCCCTTAAAAGGACACCTATGGTGGTGAGTCCGGGAATTTCAAGATGACACATGCCGTGTTTTGGCCATCCGCCAGTTACAGGCGGAGTTCCCTGTTACCAGGCCCGAGAAAAATAAAACAAAAATACTGGGGAGCCCCCGAAAAGAACTCGCGCACCAAACACGCAACCGGCACCAGGAGTTCTCGTTCCACGTGGCGAAGGAGATTAACAAGAGCTCCATTCGCGCGGAGCGGAAGACCTTCAGCCTGCGAGGCGGGAGAGCGAGCGTGCAGTTCTAGGTTCCCCCAGCAATTGGTGCCCCTTCGCACCAGGACAAGCCGAAAGCTGTGTTGGGTGCCAGAGAAAGAATAAAGATGTCGCTGGATGCCATGTACCTGAAAGGATTTTCGGATGAGCGGTACCTTCTGGTTATCTCCTAGGTCCCCCCAGTGGCCAGCTGTGGATGGCTTGGCTTGCTGGGGCCACTTTCACCCCTTGGTAGAAAAAGATCATCCAGATTTGATTGGAAAGTTGTTAAAAGAAACTTGGTCCCCCAGCAGTTGGTGCTTGCTCTTTCACCCAACTTTTTTGGTTGGGAGGCTTTTCACGCTTTCCACCTCTACTCGTAGAAAACAAGTGCGTAACTTTTGTTTCAAAGTCTTGCTTGCCCATAGGAGGCACCTGAGCGCTTGCAAGTACTAGGTCCCCCAGCAATTGGTGCCCACTCTTTCACCAGGCTCTGTGGATGGTTTCCTGGGACCACTTTCACCCTGTCCTTGGTAGAAAAATATCATCCAGATTTGGTTGGAAAGTTGTCAAAAGAAACTTGGTCCCCCAGCAGTTGGTGCTTGCTCTTTCACCCAGCTTTTTTGGTTGGGAGGCTTTTCACGCTTTCCACCCCTACTCGTAGAAAACAAGTGCGTAACTTTTGGTTCAAAGTCTTGCTTGCCCATAGGAGACACCTGAGCGCTTGCAAATACTAGGTCCCCCAGCAATTGGTGCCCACTCTTTCACCAGGCTCTGTGGATGGTTTCCTGGGGCCACTTTCACCCTGTCCTTGGAAGAAAAATATCATCCAGATTTGGTTGGAAAGTTTTCAAGAGAAACTTGGTCCCCCAGCAATTGAATTGGTGCTTGCTCTTTCACCCAACTTTTTTGGTTGGGAGGAACCCCCCTACTAAAATAGACAAAAATGAAAAAAGTTGGTACCCTTATTCCAAATAGCTTTTCTGGGACCCCGGCAGGTAATTATGTGCGGGGTTGTCCTTGATTCTGGGAATTTGATCTTCTCTTCAGCGCCAGAAGGGGAGGTTCAGCAAGACCCGATCCACCTTGCCACAAACCTCGCTTGGGCTGAATGATTGTCTGACATCCGGCATGTCACGGAGTTTTTGTTGACACGGAACGAGGAGATCCAGAGTGTCCGCGCATCTCTGCACATAAGCAAGGAATGAGGGCAGAAACCCTACAAACCATCCAACTGGTGGTTTCCTTTTTTTGGGAATCCCCACTCCAGTTCATTCAACCACGTTCCCTATCGCACGAGGAACAGCTGAAAGGATGCCATGTACCCAATGGATTTTCGGACTGCGAGTGGCCCTCTTAAACTCGACCAACAGAAAACGAAAAGGTGCCCTTTTTTCCCATGGAAATCCACTGGGCATTTGAGTACATGTCCTTTTTGGTGGTTTTGCTCGAAAAAAAATAGATTTCGATTCCTGGTTCACCCGGTGGTTTTTTTTCTCCCATGGACCCGTTTCCCCATCTATTTCCCTTAGAAGGACACATGCTGCAGGTGGAGAGACACCGCGCAGCGCGAAAGAAGATGACCTGGCGGCCCAGCCGCAGATGGCGGCTGTGGATGGACGAAATCCGATTCGCACTACTTGGAAACAATGGTTGAAACTAACGTTTGTTGGTATTTACAGGGGAAGCGACTCATCCTAGGGTTTCTTGGATGGTGCGAAATGGATTTTGTCCATCCACAGCGCTGGGTTTTCTGCCACAGCTTCGTTGGCTGGGCTCTGTTCAAAAGTAGAGCCCCGAAAAAAGTTCAATCCTGGCGGCTGATTCCGTTTCAACCGGAAAGCGTAGTTCCGGAGAGCATGCTTAGGAAGACGAGGCTTTCGAACTCAGCAGGAATCTGATCGTATCCTTTCCTTGAAGTGGCCGTTGGAATTGCAGGTAACGTTTTTTGTTGTGTCCATGTCTTCATTTGTGTTGTTTTGTTCTTTCTTTTCTTAAACAAAGTCATTGGGATTTTAGATGGACCTGGCCATGTCTGGGCCATCTATGTTTGTTCATTGTCAGCTTCGGGTTTCCGAGTGCAGGTGACCAATAACAATAACCGTGGCCGTGTGTTCAGAGTCCCAACATGTCCGGACTCTTGAGGCTTTGAAACATCACCTCCCAAGAAAAGCTGCGTTTTTCCTGGTGATGCGGGGGGGAGGTATTGGAAACCCTGCCTTGTTTTGTTGCCGGGGCCTTAAAGATTTGATGTCATACTCCGAGGCTTCGAGAATACGGAACAAGTCCTGAAAGTACGGAATATTCTTCGGAGATGGTTTAGAGGGAATATTGTGCAGCCGAAAACCGATTCTCTCCACAGGCTAGCTTTTGCTCAAACTGGAGCTTTTCACTTGGGCAGTTCTCGGCTGGTTAGATGGAGTTGTGTCGGCGCTGCTAGAACCCCCTTTTCCGCCCCAAAGCAAAACCCTGCGGATTCATGGAGATATTTCCAGCAAGAGTAAAGGATCTCCGCACATAAGACGGCCAGTGGTTAATTTATTGGGGTTTCCATTCAGGGAGAGCAACATGTTTGCCTGTAGCACCATGGCACCATCTACAATTCATAGCTCCCATGAAGCCTCCTGAAGCCGCGGCTCACATCCGCACGTCCGGAATTTTCAGAGCTCGAGTCCGCAAGGTGAAGATTCACGTGAAGTGGCAGGTGGATGTGGAATCTTGGCGAATCCGCTTGCCAGCCCTAGCTCAATGTCAACCTCGTTTCGGTCTCAGACAAAGTACCAGATTTGGGAGAATGGGGGTGCTCAGTAAATGCTCTAGAAATCCCAAGTCTGTCGCTCATGTTCTTATGCCTTCGGGAACCGCATATTTTGACCGTGGCTTATTTGCTAGCTCGTGCTTGATGCGTCGTGGCAGCATTCAGTTTGGGATGCTATCCAAGAATTGCCCCCCGCACCGCCTTGTTGTCATACCTGACCCTCCCACCCACCAGTTAAAATGGATTTTCACTTGGTGCCAAGAGGGATCCTCACCGGGCCCTGGAATTCTACAGGGTACTTCTGATGGGTATTGATGCTTGTTGGTGGGAGGATATGCATGTATAGGTGCTTGTTGTGGGAGGCTATCCACATAGTGGTTGCTCCTTTCAAAGCTTTTCCATAAGCTGGTGGCCAGATCAATACAGCCCCCTATTTTACATATATCTAGGCGGGAAATCCCTTGGTTTGGAGGGCGGGTTTCGCAGGTGCGCCATGTTCGCCATCTTCGCCAATCCGTTCAGACCTGCACCCCTGGGCCCTAGGCCCTTAAAACGTGTGCTCGAGGGGGCCATGGTTGCCCGCACATGTGCCTTGATCTTCCCGGACCCTGAAAAAGCAGGCCTATGGCCGATTTTCCTTCTTCAACCAAGAGCAAAATCAAGAAGGACCCTGTTTTTGCGGGCCCTTGGAAGACCAAGGTTCCTCCTTTTTTTTAATACCTGAGCCTCCTTCACCCACCCACAAAAAATCGTTAAATTTCACTGCCCGAAAGGAAGCGTGTCGGTTTATGCGTGCTTCCCGCCTGTGAGGAGCAGGCTGCACAGGCCAACTTTGAGTACACCAAAGGTGGCCGGGACTAAAATGGGACGGGAGCAAGGCCACCCAGTTTTCCTCCCTGTGCTCTTTTATTTTCCCCTGGTGGCTTTTAAAGGGAAGTGATTTCACTGCTGGACATATGTTTTTCATGTTTTCCAGGAAGCGAAAAGCAAATTGAAGATTGCGGGCGCCTTTTCTCGGGAGTTCTTTTTGCTTGCTGGTGCGAGATATGCGGGGAATGAGAAGTGGAATGACCCCGAGATAAACCATCCCTTGTGGTTTCCTCTAAGGGGACTCCTGGGTTCATTCCCTCATCCCTGCTGAGCACCAGCAAGTTATCCTTGGCCGGATAAGCAAGCGCTTGTTCTGTAACCGCTTCAGTTGATCCAGCTAAACAGGCTGCCAAGGGGGGGCGCTGCATCCGTTTGGCCCTAATCCTTGATTGGTTCGGTCCGGAGTCCGACCTGCTCTTTTTGGTGTTGTTTCTGATTGTTTCCAAGATCCTCAAGCCCCCTCCAACAGAACCGCCAACCCCCCGGGAGAAATCCTTCGGCACACTTGAGCAAACTTAGGGCCAACATGAAACAACCATGCACATCCCGATTGCAGGCTGAGTAGAAATTGGCCAAGCCCTTCTCAATTTGAAGGGCGAGTGCGTTTTTCCTTTGATCCGAAAGGAGCAACTGGCACAGGCAAGCACTGGAATGGGGCCAGACGCACCAGCGTTTTGCCAATCGCCATGGCCATGCTCTTACCCCATTCTTTTCTCCGAGGGTTGCTTTGCCAATCTATGGTTCTGCATGTGTTTTCGTTGGACTCTTGAATTTGCTTCTCCTGTTGATGGGCCATGACGCACCTGCAATCTCCATCAACAGGCCTCCGGCAGATGTAATCTAAATCTATATTTGCACAAATGCGTTGTTTGCTCAACCAGGTTGTCCTGTTGATGTCCCTTCACGCTCCTTTTGTAGGACGCGTCTTCTTCTATCCACTCAGGTGGCGGCCGCGTGGATGTTACTGGCACCACTGGCCTTCTGCTGGCAGATGACAAGTCCCCCAAGTGTGGGCCTTGGTGATTGCTTCGGAAACCTGGGAGTCTACAGTGGCTGTTTTGAAACTTCACCTTTTGGGCTAACGTAAAGTTGGCCACAATCGAAACCCGGGTAGATGAAGGTTAGTAAGGGATAATCCCAACCGTGAATAGCTGCGGATATCCGCCTTCTTAGTTCTTTACATGGTTCTGGGTAGACCATTTTGATACCGGGTTTGGATTATGACTCAAGTGAGCTTTCTTTCCTGGGGTGTGCAATGGGACAAATGGAAGGAGACCAGGTCCATGCCTCACTTGGCTGAAAGTAGCTGTTCAACGAGGGTATATCAGGTGGGTTTGTTGTGTGTATACATACCGTGCTTCTTGTTGCTACTATGTGTTCGTAGGCTTCTCAGTGCAATGTGGTTGTTAGTGTTTGGCAGTGTTTGGGTTATTCTGTGTAGGTCTGTGTTGCATGGTGAGGTGTATGTGCGTGAGAAATGAGCATGATTATTTGCTCGAGGGCGTGTTTGTGCATGTGTGCCCAGCGTTGAGCCCTTGTCTTTCGCGCTTCTAAACAACAATCGTCATTGTGTCGGCATCGGTATATACCCGCGTTTGCGATTCAAACATAGCCATGTACACAGAAATGCTATACATGTCTATGTAGGTGAATGCTGTGTTGTATGCGGGTTCGCTCGTGCACTGTTGTGGATTTGTGTGTGTGTGTGTGTCTTTGTTGGTTTGACGTGCATGTGTTGTTGTTATGTGTGGTTATATGAACGTGCGGTTCTGTACTGAACTCTAATGTAACATGCAGTGATGTAGTTGGTTGTGCTGTTTCCTCGAGTTTGTTGGTTATGTGTTTGTTCTTTGTTGGTTTACGTGCCTGCTTGTTTGCTACTTTAGTCTATTGATTTGCTGAATGCACGTGCCTGCATTCGTGCGCTCACGTTGGTTTGGGTGTATATGCATGTTTGTGCGCCTTGTCTTTGGATGTGTTTCACCTTGTGCGGATCCTGCCTGTCTGTATGAGCTCTTGGATGAGTGTGAGCGCGCGAGCGCGCATACATGGTTTTGGTGTGTGTGTGTGACCCAGTTGACCACAATCTCACGAAGCCACGTTACAGAGTCGGGAACACCTGCACTGTAGTATGCGGAATGCTTGCCCTTGTCTTTGTCCTTCGTCTTGTTTGTGCGTGTGTGTGTTTGTGTTTGTGTGTTTGTGTTTGCGTGTTTGTGTTTGTGTTTGTGTTTGTGTGTGCGTTTGCGTGCGTGCGTGCGTGCCTGCCCACAAATACGTTACGTAACAGTTTTTTGCATGAAGCAAGCAGCTTGTGCTGATGCGAAAACTAAGTGACACACGGCCTCATGCCGAAGCTGGGTTGACCTGCCCCAGCGATTAATGCCTTTGTGACCGGCCACCAATGCCAGGGTACAGTTTTCCTGTAGATAGCAAACAGGAAGCCCGGATTCGCCATCCGGTTTGCCACCCCCCATGGTTTGGTTGAGTCAAACCAAGGGGGCAGAGCCATCAATTCACAGCCCCGAAGGCAACATATGCAAGGCTTGGGAAATTCTTGAACGACCACTAAATGCGTGGGTTCCTGACCGAGGTTGTGGGATCAAGGGGTCTATCCAATCACTTCTGTGATACAAGGGAGTCTCCCCCTTTATATGGGGGGGCAGTCTTTGGGAAGCCCTTTCTGTTGTATCAGAGAAATGGTGATTTCCCACGGCCCTGCTCCTGATCGTTTTTTGCCAGGAGTAACAACAAGAGCGAGCCGGAGTCGCCCAAAAGTGTGCGAAGCCGCAAGCTGACGGAGGTGGGGGACGCTGTGAATCAAAGCCGGGTGTTGCTCCTGACATGCATCTAGGGCTACCTTCCCCATTCTTTCCAGGGATCCGAATCTTTTCAGGAAGCCATCAAAAACCTAGGGGAAACAGATCCGGTTTTGGAAAAGAACGATGGTTGAAGAGACTGGAAAAGGAACTATTAGAGGTCTGTCTTGTTTTGAGGGTCCCGTTCGGTTGGTTCAGCCAAATGGACACCAACCAGTTCGGGGCCCAGAGTGCCTGATGCTCACTCCCAGAGTTCCTGCACTTTATCCCCCGATTGGTGCCCTCTCCTTTACCCTTTTTTTTCTGATTCTGATTAAAAGAAAACCCCCTACTAAAATAGACTGCAGAAGAAAGTTGGTACTCTGATTCTAACCGCTCAAGTCTGGAGGACCTAGTTATACTTTTTGGAAGACCATGTTAGTCGGATGGGCAACCCCAGGTCCACGTGATGCTGGCGATGCTTGGGATGTTGCCAGCCCTGCGGAAAACTAGCCCTATGAAAAAAACCAGCCCTAGAAAAAAAACACGTTACCATTTTAGCCTTATACTAAAAAGTATGTGTACTATGTCTGGCCTCTCTTCATGCTGGCGTCCAAAGCTTTCCAACCTGCCCATGCGGCAGGGTGAAATACATATGATTGTCTTATCAATATGGTAGGGGTTGATCAAAAGATCCGTGATACATGGAATGACCATTCGGACAAACCGCTAAAAAGATGATATGTCCCACTAGATGGAGAACAAAAAATACCCATGGTGATTTGGGAGCCAGAAATCTGGTGAACCTTCATGTAATGTCCATGTGTGTTTCCAAGGATCCGCCAGTGCGACCGCAGTTTTACAAATCCGGCAACACTCATACAGTATATAATTTAGAAGGTTGGTGACCCACATGTTGTGCTAGCCAGTCAATTTGTTCATCTAGTGTGTGTGAGACTTACTGTTTGCTGTGCATGGTGAATTCATTGAGCTGCTTGTCGCGAATTTGCAATCCGCCATCAAGCTAGGGAGGCTGACTACGTGGCTTGCAGTCGCTTTTGTCCAAAGCACATGCATGGATTACACAATCGCATCGTCCGGGCGATCAAAAATGATGGGAGCTAGTTATAGGAACATCTTTGAGTTTACGCAACCAGACACAAGCCCCACAATATTTCGAGCACCGGTTTTTGAGTTGGAGTGTGATCTGCAACCATGTTATGACTTGTCGGGTCTTTGTGAGGAACCCTGACCCATTGGAAGATCGGAAGCAACCTCTTAAAAACTACCCATGAAAAACAATCCACCCTTTAATTTCGAGGCAATACCCCCATGTGTCCTGGAATGTTGAGATGTGTACCCATGAAAAACAATTTGCCCCATAATTTTGGGGCAATACCCCCCATGTTTCACGGAATCTTGAGATGTTGAGGGTCTTATGAAGGGAATTCACCCCGTAATTTTGGGGCAATACCCTCCCCATTTCGCACGGAATCTTGAGATGTTGAGGGTCTTGAGGGCGGTTTTTCGGCGGTCGACTCGGTCAGGCGGAAACCTTGGCCAAGCAGGAGAGTGAGGAATTCCAGGTGCAGCCGGAGAACACGGCGCCTGGGAATGTGTAGCTCACTTCGTGGAGCCCGCGGAGCCCACGGAGTTTTTTTTTTTTTTTTGGGTTTGGACCATCTCAGTGGTTGTTGTCAGGAACATTTTTCCCATGTTTGCTTATTGTGGTTTAGTGGTTGAAATCCCCACTTAACTGCTAACATCTATTTGTTTGCTCCCCTTCCAACGTCAACCAGGTCCACGGCTAAAAAGGGAGATCCTCGAAATCTGCTGGTAGCCTCACTTCTTGAGTTCCTGGACTTGCAACTTTTTGGGTTTGGAGCACCTTCGTGGCAAGGAAAGAGTTTGGCTACTTTTTCTGGCCAGACCACTCGATCGGAAGTGAGGCATGGTGGTTGAACCAGGTGCTCCAAAACGACCAAGGAGAAGATATTTTGCAAAAATGCGCGAAACAAGCACTAGACTCTACTGACGGCGGGTGGCCCAAAAGCATTCAGCCACGCGCGTCTTTGCGCAAGTTGCTGTGTGCATGCCACAATCATTCCGCATTCCCTTCTTTTCCTCAACAAGCCGTGTGACTGCCAAGTGTCTTTGCGTGCGCGCTTCGCCGAACAAACCTTTGTCAGCAATTTTCTGCACGCAGCGATCTCAGGCTTCTCTGTACAGTCTTCCTTGCGCAGAGCTTTCGCAGCGAGTTGCCGGGCGCAGCTTTGTCTCTTCAAGCTTCTTTGTGCAAGCTGCGCAAGCATAGGTGTCCTTTTTGGTTGTTTTGCTAGAAAAGTAGATGGCCCTGGTTTACCTGGTGGTTTAATCATCTACCAGAAAAAAACATCTATTTCCAACCTCAAAGGACACCTATGTGCGCAAGTGTCTCTCGAGAGTCTGCAAGCTGAATGGAGCTGCCACGAGTGAGCCTCGCTCGCGGCGACTTTCGCCCAGCTTTCCCTAAGCCGGTCGCAGAGTGGAAGCCGGGAACGTCGATCAACTAGCAAGCTCGCACACGAAGCGACTTCTGAAGACTCATGCGTGGCCCAGTTGAGTGGGAGTCCGTCCTTCAGGGTTCCACTTTTCAACGTCCACCAACCAAGAAAGGATGCATCTCAGTTGGGCACTGGGCATTTGAGATGAGTACCCAAAGAAAGTAAAACACCGGGTTTTTCACGCATCGAGCCGCGCGATCCCCTATGTCTGCCTGTCTGGCTGCTTGGCCTTCATGGTTCGGACCTCGTTTGGACCTCGTTACCTCATTGAAATTTCAGTGTGTCAGCTCGCCTTAGCGTCGCGCAAGAAAAACCGCGTTGCGCCGGATCAAGCCTTCGCAGGATTTTCGCGTGTCGGATCGCTCTGGCTGCGGCGCCGTGCGAATTTGTGTTGTGCCAGATCAATCCTCTGCATGGATAGTGCGTCGGATCGACACCGTGGGAAGATGTGCACGCATTGATGAACCGGGTTCAATTATCTGCCATGGCAACCTAAACAACAAAAAAGTTGATGCGAGCGTCATGCCCCCTCGCCAAAACACATCGGCACGTCTTGATTCCCAAATGGGTCTTCATTTTGTTTTTTTTCTTTTTGACAATTTCCCTAGTTGAACCTGTTTCAAACGACACCAAAATGAAAACCACCATTTTGAGGCCTTTTTTGAGAAAAGACCCGCCCAAAGAAGCACTTTGGTGTGACATCCCAACTGCAACTCAGGCGCCGCTGGTGGACGAGACTCTGGACGCGGCCACCGTGGACCCCGTGGACGCCCCCGGGGGCGTCGAGGCCTTCGCTGATGGCACCCATGTGGAGTATTTCTCGAAGACCAACGGCAAATGGCGACCTGGCCTGAATTGGTTGAATTTTCTCTCAGGATGCGTTGCCTTTCATGTGCGGAACTGAATATGCTGGTCATGTTCGGCTGGTTGTAAAGGGAATCTATTGCTGGAAATACTTAGTTTTCCCCAGGCGGCAAACAAGTTAGTGAATTCAATGAAGCATGTCAAGGGCCTCGCTTTGGCAATTGCAATCGTTGGTCACCTCCACGACTTGATTGCATGGGTCCGGTTTCGAAAGGAGTTGCTTTGGGAAGCCCCAACCAAAAACAAAAACAGGCCTCCATGATTGCACAGCAATGGATGCAGTCACAGTTGTTTTTGCAACCACCTTGGAAGGCACGTTGTTCCTTGAGATCGACTGGGTGTCGAAATTGGTGTTGGGAGCACGTGGAGATGCGTGCTGCCTGGCCAATGTTGTCATCTTCTGTTATCTACCGTTAAAGGGGACTAGGTCCCCCAGTAGTGCCCTTTCTCACCCCTTTTTTGGGGGAGGGTTCCCCTACTAAAATAGACTACAGAAAAACAGGGCACCCTTATTCTAACCTCTCAAATCTGGAGGGCCTAGGGGATGAGTTTGGCGAACTCACCCAATGATGAGGAAATCAGGGTTATTCCCTTGATGGCCGCTGCCCGTGCACCTGCAACATGTGCGGCGTTTCTTTCATTTCAGCGGGCTCTTGCATTTGGAAGTTGAGGAAAACCCAGTTGCCCAGTGGCTTCCGCCCTTGTTTCCTTTTTTGGGGGGGGGGTTTTGGGTTCCCCTTTAAACTCAACCAACCAAAAAAAGGAGCCCTTTTACCCATGGCCACTGGGCATCTGAGGAAAATACATCACACATGACATACATTCCCCCTCACCGAGTTTCTCAAAGTCATCCCACTTGCCCAAACGCCGACCTTTCGACCTTTTGGTTTCCCATGTTTGGTCCGTTTTTAGGTATGGCCCCAAAACAAGTTAACCTGTTATTTCTGGGTCCTCTGGCAACTGCGTCATAGAATCAAATACGGGGTGAAGCTTGAAGGTTTGGCGCCTGCCAAGGATGCAGGGCAGCATCAGCGGATCTGGTCAGACGATACGCGATGAGCTTATCCCCACCTACACCGTGCTGGTTATGCTCGGGGGTTTCCACAAACAGAAGCGGGACTTTGCGACTTGGAAACAAGTGGACGGGAACCTTCCATTTCCATTCTTTTCAGGGATCCTTCTTTCTAGAAAACCTCCGGAAACCCAGGGCAAAACTATGATCGGCTTTTGAAAAGAAGGCTGGTTGAGAAGAATGGTTGGAAGCACTACAGCACCCTCTAGAATTTCAGAATGAGGTCCCAAGCGATTCAATCATGGGTTTTGGTCGGCTCGGATTTTCTTTGGCGCTCCCTGCTTGCTTCACCATTGGAGTTCTGGCCATGTTCTTGCAGGAGGCGATTCGACTCTTCCAATCGAGGCTTGTGTTGCTTGTTGGTTGCTTGCAATCTGACGAGAGGGGTAATGATGACCCCGGATTAGTAAGCCCCAGTTTATGAACCCTCCAAACGTGATGATTCCCCGCTAAACCCAGGCACACCCCTCTATTAATAAACTGGGGTTGATTTATATGGGGTCAACATTAAGACCTCTAGCTTTTGCGAATAGAGTATGTATAGACAGATTCCACAACCAGATGAAGCCAGTATCAAAGAAATAAGCTTCCTATTATCCTTACATTTATGCATTCCTATCAACATCATTTACTCTAAAACGGGGAATGCACTGATCAGCTCGCTGACGGACAAAGCGAGCTCCCCCACGACAACAATGAGCCATCAGCGTCCTCAGAATCCGCCTGCAGACGCATGGGGGCCCAGCCAATCTACTCCCGCTGATTCGTCCCCCCTCTGGTTCCAGACAGGTTGCTTGTCTTGTGAGTGATCGCGCTGTGAGCCATGGTCAAGCAGACAGGTCGACAGGTTTCTTGTTGTTTGGAAGGTTCCGAAGGCGACATTACTTTCTCACAGTTTTTCAGGGTCGGCGGAGGTTTCCGTGTCGATAAAGAGATTCCAGGGTCTGTGACATAGTAGGGCAGTGCCCTGTATGATAGTCCGCCCTTCTCAAGGTGTCCTTTCCACTGTAGAGTGTCTGCCCTTGCAGCGTAGAAACAATTTTCCCAGTTGGGCCGAGCCCCTTGATTTCTGCAATAAGCAGGGCTTAAAAGGGTTGTCCTTCTTAGATCACCTGGTTCAAGAATAGTTTGGGCCCACCCGCACGCGAAGGATTCCTGTGCTAAAAGGACAACACTGACCAGTGGAAAATCGCAGTGTCCCGGGCTCAGGTGGATTTGAGCCTTCTGCGGAAGCCCTTCAAAGAAGGGGACCCGGTCAGCGTCCAAGTCCTAGCGGATGAGGCTGGGGTTTTTGAGTTCCCACTGGTGGTTTCCGATCTCGCCTTTCGACAGTTTGAGTTTCAGCCTTTCCAAGCTGCACGATTTGGTTCCCCGCTCCCCCAAAGCCGGTAGGCGCCCGGAGAGTTTTTTTCGCTCCAGATGTGTGAGGAGGGTGTGCTTTGCTCGAAATGCTTTGTGTTGTTTTGGAGCTAAAGTTACAGTGATGCCTGCACTTGTAGAGTTTGTTGGAAATGTCGCATCGGTCTTGGGCATGCCGCATCGTGTTGAGCGCCAACGCGCCAATGGATAATGTTCATGGCTCAGCCTCGTGGATTTGAAGAAGGGGAGTGTACCCCCTATTGATCAACCAAGTTGGTGTGAAAACTCCTCTTCCGGTTGAACTGAAGACTATGACTCTTCTTTTCCCTAAAGTTGTTTTTTTGTTGGGAATCTACCACTACTGGATGTTGTTGTTTTGCTTGTCCAGGCGGCAAGAACGCAAATGGAAGTCCTTGGATGAGTTTGTGATTGAAACAAGAAGCTTGGGAATTGATTAGCAAGTAGAGCACCAATTGCCAAGGGTCTCCCTTTGTTAGGGTCTGATCCGTGGCCCGGCTAAAAGGCACTTGCTAGGGGACGTTCGGACTGCAAGTATAGTTGCGTGGGACGTGGTTGTCAACTTCTATCAAATATGTTGTTCACCATGCTTTTCATTGCATCCCCCAGTTGGAGGTGTGATGTTCTCTCAAATCCCCGGCAAAACCGTTTCAGATTTTTTATTAATGCGGACAAGTTCCTGGAGTCTAGGGGGACAGCTGCGGACTGGCCAGGAGTGGCAACCAGGCATCATCAAGGCACGATGCGGCTATCCTTTAAGCCGCTGGATGCAGCGAGGGGGCGAGGGACTATGTCGGCGAAACCAGCGTTAGTTGGATAGTTGTGTTTCCTATTCACAGGTTCAAAGCACTCCAATGGGTAACCCCGTTGCGACATTAACAATCTGTAGATGCATTTCATTTCTGGATGAGTATTATTCAGATTATAAACCCCCGATCGTCTTAAGCCGACTTTCTTGATGGCTTCCCGCTGCCGTGCGTCTGTTCAGCTAGATTCTCCAGTGAGTTACATCTTAAAAGGCTCATCCATTGCTATGTGAAGCAAGGCGTTTGTTTTTTTGTACAGTACAATTTCCCACAACGAAAGCCGTCAGGAGGGGATTGGAAGACTACCAGCAGTTCCTATTTAATCTAGTTCGATGAACATGTATTCCGCGTTGTTAAGAATATGTCTTATATTCCCCTGTTGGTTTGAAAGAGAATCTCTCGCTATTGCAGATATGCTTTTTCAGGGGACTGAAGCGAATGGATTGAAAAGAGGGTATTGAGCCAGCATGTTGTTTGCCAGGTTGTGTCTCCATAGCCATGTCGATTTGATGACGTCGCTTGGAGTCTGGGCCCAACATTTGGCAAGCGTTGCCAGGGCCAACATATGGGACTGCGCCTGGTCGGTAGCAAGCTTAGGTTTTTGCGTTGCACGTTGTCGCGTTTCCGTGTTCCTTATTTGGTCTTATTGTGTGTGTGTGTGTTGTTTGTGTGTGTGTGTGTTTTTTGTTTGTATATGTGCATCTTTGTGTCTCTGTGTATTTGTGTGTTTGTGTTCAATGTAGGTGTGAATTGGTGTGTTGTATTTGTTTGTTTGTTTGTTTGTTTGTTTGATTGTTTGTTTGTTTGTTTGTTTGTTTGTTTGTTTGTTTGTTTGTTTGTTTGAATACTGTGTGTTTGGGCGTCTGTGTTTCTATGTCCCCCTGTGTCTTTCTATGATTTGGAGCGGGTCCCAAAGGTGGGGGAGGCGTGTGCGCAGCAATCATGGAGCCGCGGTGGGTGCGAAACAGCCCGACATGCGCTCAGTCACCAAGTCCACTAAGTGGCCATAAACGCTTCGCGCTGCCCGCCTCGGCCAGTGTCAACTTTTTGTTTGGTTGGCTTTGAAGTACTCTGTTTGGTTCGCCTTGAAGTGCCGTGTTTTCCGAGTGAGTGAGTCATTTGCGCTGAACTGCGTGAGCTGGTTTCCAAGATGCATGCATGCTCACGCGTTACGTGGCCGCAAGGGCCAGCGTTGCCTGGACTGGGGGCTGAAAAAGGCAGAAGGTCGTCAAGCCCAGGGCGAAGAGCCAAAGCAGCCCCCCTTCAAAGCAATCAACAGCCTTCAATGTCTAGGGCTACAACCAGGGAGGTGAGCTGGCCTGCCTTTCAGACAGCAAATGAACAGGGAGTGGATGCCGGATGCCCATGCATCCTTTCCCTTGGCACCAGGCAGTTGCTCACCGGTGGCTGTCGCCAACTCTCAAACACATCCCTTGTTGGGCGCCGCGTGAAGGGAAGACACTGGCCAAAGGGGATGGTACTAGTAGCAGTTTTATGAGGCTTTCCTACTAGTAGAGGAGTTTTGCAGAACTAGGTCCCCCAGCTAGGTGCCCTTTCTCACCCCTTTTTTGGTTGGGAGGGTAGGGTTCCCCTACTAAAATAGACTACAGAAGAAAGTTGGTACCCCTCTCAAATCTGGAGGACCTAGTGCTTAGGAGGGAATGGTGTTGGGCATGAACCGGAAAGGGACTTCCTTTAAGGAAACCAGTGGTATTCAGGGGCATTCCGTTTCAGACTGGTGTGCGCCAATGTGTTTGGGGGGAGGGCCCTCAGCATAGGTGTCCTTTTTGGTCGTGTTGCTGGAAAAATAGATGGCGATCCCTGGTTTCCCTGGTGGTGTAATTCATCATCTACCAGGGAGACCCATCTATTTCCCCCAGGACACCTATGGCCCTCAGGTTACGAGGTGAAGCTCCTCAGCGAAACGGCCTCCTCCCGGCCCTCAGCGGGTTCGCGCGCCGCCGCGGCTGAAGCGACGGAAGCGGAGACGGCGGTCTCGCGAGCGCCGTTACCAGCAGATGCTCGACACAGTCTCAGTTGGTTTCGTTCATTGTTGCCCATTTGTTGGTTGTGCCAAAGCGGCGATACCAGCAGAACTCAAGTTTTTTTGTTTTTTGCCGTTTTGGCCCAGTCTGAGCCAAAGATGGTTGGTTGCCCTGTGGCTTGGGTTTGAGCAAATTGGAACGTTTGCTCACAGCTCGCACATGAAGGTTCCTTGCAGATTCCTGATTTCAACTAAAAGTGGCTGCAGTGTTCCAAAATTGCAGGGGTCCTTAACAGAATGCGTGGCGAAAAACGGGGCAACAGAAAATCCGGGATATTGTAAGGGCTCGTTTTATTTTGGAATCATCCAAGCTCAATGGGCTTGTCTCCAATTTTTCGAGGAGCCCCTTCAATGGGAGGTTCCCGTTGGCTTTCCTTTGAACCCGCAGTAGCCTCGAAAAAGTTGACGCACCCAAATCCTTCCAGTCGGACAGTCTGCTCGGGTGGAGTCAAACACGGGAGCATGCTAGGGACTGAGCAAAGTCCATGGTGTCTGCCAGAAGAATCCCCAAAATTGGGGGCTCTCTTGGATAAGCCAAGTTCATAAGCCCTGAATACTTCAAAGGGAGAGATTTTTTGTCTCACTGGTCCATGGCCAAACCCCTTCCCGAGGGCGAAACGGGGAGCATACACCTTGTCTCCCACTAAACCCCTGGGGCTAGTGGTTTGGGGGTGGAGGAAACCAGCTTAGACAAATGGATCCTTGCAGCCTGTTTTCTTGCTGGACCCGACGAAAGGGTGAATGTGTCAAAACCAGGGACTCCTCCAAGAGCTGGATTCACGCTGGCATCCGTTTCCAAAGGCACCAACAAGGCACCACCAGCGTTGACCACACACACAAATCCATCAACTTGGTAGTGTCCAGTGGGTGTGGCTCAAAATTGAACAACTGGGCTTACGCAGGTTTTAGTCTTTGGTGCCAATTGCCAAGGTGCCATGTGCATTGTTACCCATAGCCCAATACACTCGCTGCAAAAGCGAAATTCGGATGTTCACTGGAAGTCCCGCCCACTTGAGAGATCTTACGACCCTTCACAGGAAGCACCGCATTAGGCAGCTTTCCGGGGCCTGTTGAATCGTTAAACGGAGTGTCCAAGTGTCTCTACAACTTCCATTTGGTTAAGAATATGTTCTTTCATTCCCTTTTGGTTTTACAGGGAATCGATTTCACTACTGGAAATATTTATATTTTTCCAGGGGACCTAAACAAATGGAGGACAGTTTTCGCGTGCCTTGCTGGACCTCCGCATTGTATCCATCTATTTAGGGTTGCGGCCCGAAATTATAGCGCTCGTGTGGATATTTGGTCTATGCTGTGCTACAAATGGTTTGCCGAGCTTGTTCCTTCTCCAGGTTCCTCCTGTCAGCTTTACCGGCGACCCGGGCCAACACTCCGCCGTTTCCGGTTAAAACTTCGATCTCAGGAGCGGGTTCGGCCAAGATTCCCGGGCGGCCAAGCGGTGGCGCCGTGGCATGCCGTGGCCCATTTTTCGGGGGGACAGCAAGATCAGGTGGTTCAAGGCATCCAGCCCCCTTAGGCTTTAGCGTGTTTTTTTTTTTTGTTCGTGTTGTTTTTTTTTCCCCCCCGTTGGTGTAGTGGTTTGGTTCTCCATTCAATCAACCAGTTAAGCTTTTAGCAGATCTGAGCCCACGGGAAGATGAGTTTGCTGATTTGAAGCTGTGGGTTCTCAATCAAAAACCGTCTCCAAAGTAAAGCACCGATCCAAAGAAGGGCAAGGCAAGTCAATTTATTTCTGTTTGCCTGGACTTTTTGCTGGTGATGGTCACTTTTTTGCGTTGGCCTGTCCTGCCCTCCCTCCCGAGAAATGTTCGAACGTGGACACGGCGGTTTCTTTCCGCGGGGGTCATTTGACGAGTCAAATGACTTGTGTCTCCCAGTTTGCCCAGTGGCTTGCTTCCTTGTGTTCTTCTTTTTTTGGAAGGCTTTCCCTGCTCACCCTCAACCAACCAACAAAAAACGGATGGGCGTTTAATTGATTCCTCCAACAAGTAACCACTTAGTGTCTTCTGGGTCAATGTTAGAGCCCCTCCCGCAAGGCGGCAATGGCGCAGATGGTCGGGGGCTGGCCCAGTGAACTGCCCAGTTCACCCCCAAACCTTGCCGAAACTCAGTTGTTCAGTGGCACCCCTTTTCCCTTTTTTTTAGTGGCTGCCCACTAAAAATGGTCTTCCCCAAAAAGGGTTCCCTTTTTTTTCTCAGGGTCCCTGAGCAACTGAAGAAACAGACAGACGCAGATTTTCTGCCCTCCATTCATTCCAAGCTCCCTTTAGATGGCTCAGCTAGGCACCAAGTTGTTAAGGCAGCCAAGCGAGCGGAACGTGTCCCAAGACCTTCCCGGTTTCGTGGTTTGATGCATTATGTGTTGGGCTCCAAGACCAGCTTGGTGAAATGTTTTCGGTTGGGAAACCGCGAGGCCTTTCGGCCTCGCTCCGAAAAAGTCGGCTGATCCCCGATCCCGACCTCGGACTCCGAGGACGTCTACCGGGGCGTGGAAGAAGGTTGGATCCAAGGAGCCGAGAGCTCAAGGGTTTGGGTTCAAGAGAGGCTAGGTCCCCTAGGAGTGCCCTTTTTTGCCCTTTTTTGGGGAAAAGGTTCCCCTACTAAAAATAGACTACACAAAAAAAGGGTACCCTTATTCTGACCTCTCTACTGGAGGACCTAGGAGAGAACCTCCCAAGGAGTGGTTTCTTTTGAAGCTCCTCTGCAACTACGTTTCAATGATAGAACCATGTGGATGTGGTTTGCTTGAGCCTTTTGCGAGCATCAACCTACCCTAAAGCTTCACCTCACCCCAAGCCGACCCTTAACCTACCTACAAAATCTCCCCGAAACCTACCGTATACTGACGCTAAACTTCTGGTAAACCCACCCTAAACTGACCCTAAAAACCTACTGTAAACCGACCCCTGAACCGACCCCCCCTTGGCCATCGGCAAGCCTCGGCAGCTCTCTTTTTCCCTCTCTGGATTCTTGCTGGTGTATCATGTTGATGTTTTTTGGTTCCGTATCCTGCCTGCGTGCCAAGAAAAGTACATGGCTAAATTGTGCAGAACAGCAAATGGCTGTCTCAAAACTCCTTGCACGCAGCTGACGGGTTTTGACACCCCGGGTGTCTGCTGTCGTGAAAAGTTGGTCTTTGAGCTACGCTACCTTTGGGCATATCACCTGGGGAAGCGGGCCTCACCTTTGTTTCTTTTCGTGGTAGGCATGACACGGCCTTGCTTATTTTGTGTGCCTGTACTAGGCGTGTTTATACCAAAAGGCATGTATATATATATATATATAGAACCGTATTTGCATAGTCAGTTGTAAGCCAACTCAAGAACAAGGCTGAAGTACCCAGGGTTGCGTAATCTGGGCTGTTCAAAGGCAATCCTTGAGTTGCGCAAGGTCCCCTGTGTGGTGGTTTTCCCCTAATTACAGAGAATCGCATTGGCCAACATTCCATTTTCAACAGCCCAACGGTTGAATGGCAACATGGGCCTCTGTTTCAACCCGCTTCTTCCAACGGGTCTCAAGCACTTGGGTCTTTGGACCGAGGTTGTGCGAAGCGATGGGTGGCCGGAGGTGTCCGTTGAGCACCTCGGCACGTTTTTGTTTGTTTTGTACTTCTCTTTTTTAGTTCGGCCCGGTGGCCGCAAAAACAAAAACAACGACGCCCACAACTGAGGGTCAACAAAAACCTTGCCTTGGTCCCCCAATAGTGCCCTTTTACCCTTTTGTGGGGGAGGGTTTCCTACTAAAATAGGCTACAGCAAAAGGGGTACCCTTATTCTAACCTCTCTACTAGAAGACCGAGTGCTGGTGCTCAGTAGGGAATTGGGAATGAACCGGAAAGGGATGTCCTAGGAAACCATGGATGGTGTTCCATGCCTATCGAACAAGCAAGAAAAGACTTAAAGTGGGTGTAATTGGAGGGCATCGGTTTTTTCTTTCCTCGGTTTTTGTTGGGCGAACAAATTGATGAGTCCTGGTGGACCTGATCCTTTCAGAATCCACCGTCTTTTTTTTACCCAAACGGACGCCGGTTTCTGAGGCTGAGGCCCGTGTTTCTTCAGCGAAATCTGTGTTTGTTTCTTGAGATGCCCGGTGTTTTAGTGCTTAATGAACACAAGGCTCGTTTAGTTGGCCACAAGGGATGTACTTGTCATAAAGTGTGTTGATACCCTATCGAGGGTGCAAGTATGATAAGTTATTCCCTAACCTCCTCAGGGTCCTCCCTCAGCACACAGTGGACACCCAAGATGCTGGGTCCAGCAAACGCCATTAATTTCAGACATGCTGCTTGATGCTGTTTCCTGCATTGCGCGAAGGAAGAAACAAGCCACCACAAAACAAGATCGCAAAGGTAAGGCTGACCACTTGTACTTTGGGCTGCCTCACACCCTTCTGTTCCTTGATAGGCAATTGACAAAATGAGTGTTGAATGACTGACCCATGGAGGGTGCAAGTGGGATAAACTATTCTCTCACCTGCCATATCAGATCCCATCAGCATCAGCATCAGTTTGCATGGGACCTAGACCCAGTGTCTCAAAATGATGAGTCAAAGGGCGAGTTCCTGCAGCAACGGCTTGATGATGTAGGCATGGCTGCCCGATTGCGATTGGCCTCCCTCCTCCCTCAGTTTTCCTGATATCTGTTGACAATATGAAGTAATAGCAAATGATAGGTTTACTTTGCTACAGACATGCAGACTGAAAATCCAAGATGCTGGTTCCAGCAAGCAAGGGTCTGACAAGGCACCCCGCTGCAATTCATGGTTTTGTCGCATTACGCAAATGGAAATGTAAGCGGCGGCAAAAGCAACGCTGACCACCTGCAATTGGCTGCCTCACTCCCTCCTGTTCCCTGATAGGCAACTGACACAGTGAGTGAGTTTTTTGGTGACTTCCGGCTGCGCCGTCCCGCAGCCAAGCAGCAATGATCCTAAGTTCAACACTAGTATTTATGAAAGTCTTTTCAGGCTTGCTAGATTCCATGTGAGCAGTAGGATACAAGGCCTGTTGCAAGGCACTTGGTCAATCCCTGGGAGATTTACAAGAGTTGAGCAGCCAAGATGCAGCAGACAATTGTTTGACCAGGCAACAAGTCACTGTTTTTCCCCGAGGAGACGAGTCAACAAGATATTACTAATCATCCAGAACGAGTTTCTGGCAGCTAGAAGTAGTGACCTATGGTTGGTCAAGTCCATACAGCTGGGATGGTAGGAACTTTACTTCGGGTCCCTCGTCTGCGTCAAGATCTGAGGGTTGGAACGCACAAACCAACACGCCGAACAAGTCCGAGGACCGAAGAATAGCAGACATGTAGTATCTTGCAGAGTCTGTTGAAGGAAGGCACTAGCTGTGACAACTCAACATTTTCTGGAGAATCGGAAAGACACGGACCAATGAAGGTCGTTGGACGGCGGGGGTTCCAAACGTATTTCCAGCCCAAAAACCCGGGATGGAACCCAATCTTTGTGAGGGTGTCCGAGCCACAAATGACGAGCTCTTTGTTTGCGCAGCCATGTTGACTTGTTTTTGGGTGTGACCCAAGCGGGGTTTAGGAAGCGTTCAAAGCGAATCTATAGAAGCCACGACCTTGGCCTACGTCACACGGCCTCATGTCCAAAACCCAGACAGCCCTGGCCACTTCGGCCTCAGGATGGACGCGGCTGAAACTGCCTGCTTGGGCTACCACGCTTTTCGGCGGGAGAGAGAAATCAGGGCTGTCCTCAGCATCTCCCTTTGAGTTGTGCTTCGTTTCAAGGTAAACCGAATGTTCTTTCGGGGGAAACCGAAGGAACTCGAAAAGCCAAAGCATGCCAAAGCCCATTTTGCGGGGGGCGACCATTTGGAGGCGTAGACAGTTCAACCCTCCCTACCCTGGAAGCGGGGAAAACCCTAGCAGTCTTGTGATTGTTCGGGTTCTTGGCAGACAGGAAATGTAATTACTGAACACCACTTCTTGCTGAACATAGTTTTTGTGGGCCCATCCGCAAGCCATCACGTTCACCTTCCCCCGGCTAGACATTTTGTTCTCGCGATTTGGTTCGCGCGGTTTGTCAGCCTGGGAAGCAAGGGCTCTGGTATGGCAGGAAACCTGTAGTTTACAAAAACAAATGGCCTTGTGCAGAACTGGGGGGCTAGCACAAGTCTTTATATGTGAATTATATAAAATGCAGGGATACTTATGTATATGCATACTGTATCCTGTTCGTTGCCCCCGGTGAAAACTATGAGAGAAATATAGTATTGCAGACATTTGGCACATGCGATCATCCCTGACCCTTTTGCCCACGTCTTGCTTTCACGTTTCATTACGTCACTTTTTCGCATCGAGAAACCGCAGTCGGCTTGCCGTCCATCCTTTGTTTTTGACATGTGGGGGTTTGCCAGCGTGTGTATACATATGATTGTATGTAATCATATATATATATACATATATATATGTATATGTATGCCCAGAGGGTCCAAGTACCTTCTAGGGAGGTACTTAAGGCCTTTTTTACTCCCCAAAAGCCATCCTCAGGTACTTGGACCCTCCGCAATGGGTATGTGTATCCATTCACAGAACACGTATTGCGCTGTTGTCGCATGCTCCAGTCAGAGTGGCGTCGCCTCTCGAACTGGCCAAGAGGGATCCTCACTGGGTGGAAGACCATTCGATTCTTCAGGGTGGGTGTTGATGCTTGGTGAGAGGGTATCCACATGGTGCTTGTTGGTGGGAGGCTATCCACATGGTGGTTGCCATAGGTGTCCTTTTTGGTGGTTTTGCCAGACAAAAGGAGGGCGATTCCTGGTTTACCTGGTGGTTTTTTTCTCATCTACCAGGGAAACCCATCTATTTCCACTAAAAAGGACACCTATGGTAGCGCCACTTCTCCACAGAAACCCGGCAGCCCAGTTTTCCGATGACCACTTGCTGACGCGAACTGCATCTGACAAGTCAGTGTCCTTGAGGCATCCGAACAGCTACCCAAGAAGGTACTCTGCGCATGCGTACGTTTACTCTAGGGAGCCTCTTAAAGAAAACAACTGTAGGTCATGTAGCCTTTTGGCCTCTGTTTCAAGGCCGGGTCCTTTTCCTAGCTCCTGAGGACTCGGTTTTTGCCAAGGAGATCGCTTGGGCGCAGTTGTTTACACTTCCCTGGTGTGAGCACTTGACGCTTGTGGGAACGTGCTCATTGACTTGGAACAGAGGTAGTTGGCTGTGGCTTTAAAAACCGGTACTAAATTGGCCACCTTGGTAAATGGAACCAAAGACTAAAACCCGCGTACCCCTAGCTCCTTAATTTTGAGCTACACCCATGTGTAACAAGGTTCTTAAACAACAGATGCGCCCAAGGGTTCCTTACAGTGTGCAGCAAGCGAAACCGCAGGCGAAACCGCAGACGCGTACAGCAGGCCATGAAGCAGGCCATGAAGCCAAAGCAGGTGCTCCAAGCAAGCAAGCAGAGTACTGTTCATAGGTGTCCTTTTTGGGTTAGCGTGGCTAAAAATAGAAGGCACTGGTTTAGCTGGGTTTTATTTCATTTGCCAGGGCCATCTTGTTTTCCAAAAGGACACCAATGGTACTGTTTCTGCCACACGAAGCGCCGCAAGTTGGGAGCTCTTTTCAAACCAGTTACGCCATTCAGCTGTTCTCAGATGAGACTTGCGCGACTCAGCCAACCGTCTGGCAGATGGTGATTCTGCATGAAGAGCACTCCTTCCATTTGCTGAAATGAATATTTTGCTGTTCTGTTTTCCCCTTTTGGCTTTAAAGGGAATCTATTACTACTGGAAATATTCCAATCTTTTCCAGGGGGCTTGAGCAAATGGAGGGCACTCAGTTCGACCGTGCCACTTTGCTTTCTGCGCCAGCCACCAGGCAGCAGTTGCAGGAATGGGGGCGTACACCACGCAGGAGATCTGAATGGCAAGCGAAGAGCAGCAGGCCCAACTGGCCCAAAATGTACCGACGAGGTATGAGCAGGTCCGGCTGCGTAGCAAAAGAAGCCCACGCAGGCAGTTGTTGTGAAGACACTCAAAGCGCTCATGTCTAAGGAATGTGCAGGCTTGTCATGCATGCTGACTACCGTGTAAGCGAAACCTAAGCGAAAACCGCAAGCTCCCGCAAGTGCGCCGTAAGCTCACGCGCAAGCAAAGTTGGACGATTGCTTTCAGAGCGCCGCATTTCATTCAAAAACTCGGTGAGCGTAGCTAAGAGTCTCCAGAGATTTGGTTTGGCCTAAGCTCAGGTTCGCTTACGAGCACCAGCGCCCGCCCCGAATGCCATAGAGGATGAGAGGAAGGCGGCTGCATGATGCTAGCCGAAGCCTGGGCTGGGCCCGGTGTGAGCCTGGGAGGAGACTTCTCTAGCTTTGCCTTTGGCTTGCTTGTTGACATGCCTCACTTCATTTGCTTTCTGGGTATTTCAGCCCATTTCGGAGCTCATTTCGGAGCTGCTGGATTAGTAGAGTGACCTGTCTAAACTCATGCACTGCTGCTCTTGGCCATTTTTTTTCGGGAGTCCGCGTGGGTTTGATACAGCGTTAGGGTCAATCTTTTAGAGTTGATGTAGGGCTCGGTTAGGGATGTGATTAGAGTGGATTTAGAGGCGATAGGGTAGGTTTAGAGTGTTTGTTGTTTGATTTATGGTGGTCATAGGATGGGTGATTGGCGGCTCAGGCTTGGTGCAGGGCGGTTCATGAGGTGGCTTCGGGTTGGTGCAGGGTCGCTTTAGAGATATGAGCTTGTTTCGGGGTAGGTGTAGGGTGGGTTTAGGAACGTTCTACATAGGGTGACTTTTGGGCGCTTATAAAGGGGTGGCTTAGGATTGGTGTGAGTTCGTTTGGGGTTGGTTTAAGGTTGGTTTCGGTTGATGTAGGGTCGTCAAGGGGTGGTTTTGGGTTGGCGTATGGTTGTTTTAGCTCGGCGTATGGTTGTTTTAGGGTGAGTGTGGCTTGGTTTCGGGTGGGGGTTGGTTTAGGGTTTGTAAGGCTTGTTCAGGGTTGCTTAGGATTGGTTTAGGGTGGGTTTAGGGTTGGTTCAGAGTTGATGTAGTGTTGGTAAAGGGTGGATTTAGGGAGGCTTAGTTAAGGGTAGGTTCAGGGCGGGTTTAGGTTGAGGATGTAGTGTTGTGTAGGGTGCGTAGGGTTGGCCCACGCTTGGTTTAGGGTGGTTGGTTTACGGTTAATTTCGGGTTGGCATGGGTTGGCTTAGGGTTTGGGGTGGTATTAGGATTGGCTTAAGGTACGTGTTTGGTTGGTTTAGGGTGGTTGGTTCAAGGTTGGTTTAGGGTTGGCTTAGGGTGGCTTGCGGTGGGTTTGGGTGTGTGTTTACGGTTGTTTTGGGATTGGTCTAAGGTTGGACTGCTTTAGGGAGGCTTAGGCTGGTTTGGGGTGGGCTTAGGGTTTGTTTTGGCTTGGATGTAGGGTTGGTTTGGGTTTGGTTTAGGTTGGATTTCGGGTCGGTGTTGAGTTGTGCGCATCGGCGTACGGCGCGTCAGAGTATCAAAGCCAGAAAATGGGGTGGTTTCCGTGTAACCCTGTGTGTCTGCTTATCGGAGTTGTTTGTTTGAGAAAGACTTTGCATACGCATTTGTCATCCTCTCAATGGCGAAGTCAGTCACCACGACTGCCATCAAGTGCAGAGTTTCACCATGCGAATCTAACTGGTGATTTGGTGTCGAAAACCGGAGGTTCCGTTGGGAGAATTCGAGCCTGGTGAATTCCAGGGCTTAACTTCCCCATGCTGTGGAGTGACAGCCGCCGAGCGGAGTCTTGCAACAATCATAAGCCTGCCGGAGAGTGCAAGCCGTGTTGCAAAGAGTCACTCCAATCCAGACGTCTGACCGTCCCACTGCCGCATCTGTGCCTTTCGAGTGCAAGTAATGAACGGAACGCGCTTCTAGTAGCTTGTCACCATTCCTGCACTAGCCCAATGTGGTGTCTCAGAGCCATTAGTTTTGCTTATATGTCGCCAAGTGTTGGCATGATGCATCAGTATTTGTCTATCCCGATGCTTCTGAGACGTGCAGGGCCCAAAGCCGATGAGCCATGGGTTGACATGAGAAGTGGGACCATGCAACGACAACCCTGAATTCTAAACCCTCTTGATGGATTCGGAAACCTGCCCTGTTTTTCGAGAAGATCCGGGTCAACCTTGGGAGAGTTGGAATGTTGTATTGAGCTGTCAGGATGTTTTTTTGGGAACTTAAGATGCCAACAGGACGCCAGTTGTTTCGGGGGGACCGATTTCTGGTGTCGTCCATGGAGCATCTGGCGTGTTTTTTTGCCGCGCAGCTCCTGTGGTTGAAAGGCCTGGGGCCTGTGCAGCGGGAAAGATGGGGGCTGTACGTCGCATAGCCGCAAAAGAGATTGGGGCGTGCGCCAACTGGCATGCCTTTTGTTGAGGGTACCAACTTCTGTTGGCGGTTTGGAGGGAGAACTGCCAAAAGAAAAGCCCACCATTTTGGTAAAAAAAAGAGAGTCACCCCTAACTGGTGTGCAACTTTGCAGTTCCCGGTTGAAAAGGGCTTGAACAGGAAGATGGCATGAGACACTGGCTGGAAAAGCGTCAATAAACAAATCATGTTCCAGCACGGTTTTTGCATGCTGCCACATCCTTGAACACTGTCATGATCATTCGAAGAATGGTTCACGAGCTCTCGTGGTTGTTGAAGCCGCCCAGCCGGCGATTGCCATGTTTGAAGCATGCGACCCTTTGCGCGGGGTTTGACTTGCGGGTTCGAGTGTGGGCCATGTCAACGTTTCAACCGCACGGGCCCGACTTGTGTATGGGAGAGGGAGCTCTGGGCTCACACAGACCCGGGTGAACGCGTGGGCTCTGCGGGTTGAGGACCGGAAGTACCGTCCGTTGGACGTTTTTTTTTTTTGGTTCCATGCGCTAAAATGGGCCTGCCGAAAATTTTCGCCGTAGCTCCAGGGAGTGTCCCACACGCCCGTGAGTTCAAGCAATTGTTTCATCTATCCCGAAAACGCAAGCCTTATCGGTGGTATGTATCGACATACTGTGGGTGGACGAAATCCTACACGACCCAAGAAACCCTCGATTGATGATTCCCCTGTAAAATACCAACAAGCAGCGGTTTATCCATGGTTTCCAAGCGGACTTCCGTCCATCCAGGGAGGTTTGGGTCCCAATTCGACTCACTTCCTAGATAGGCAAGTTGCATATTTTTCTTCAGTCACTGCTGCTCGTTTTTGGGGTACAGTCCATGGACAAAAAAATCGATCGCACCGGGCGAGGTTGGCTTTCTCCGAGGTGAGGGCCGGCAGAACGGACTTCAAGGAGAAGGTCCTGGAGCGCGCCAAGAACCGCAAGGGTCCGGCGCCAAGTCACGGCGCTCGACAGAAGCAAGGTGAAACAAGGGACACCGGTGCGGTAGGGGTTCTACATGGCTCTACCCGGTTTTATGAAGATTTAGGCGGATTATAAAAAGGGCCTGTATGAAGCCTGGTGTTTTCAGAGCCGTTTTGAGACAAGCTGGTTGTCGGAGTATCCCACCCCCGAAAGGGACTTTAGCGATGAAAGCAGCGTATGTGTGCCTGTGACAGTGCCCCTTTTGATGGACTCGGCAGACCACATTCGGACCACTTGCGGAACTTTGGGGGGGCTGGGGTAAGGAGGGCTTGACACGGGGAGCGGCTTAAAACGAGGGAGCCATCTACTTTGCAGGATGATAGCATGAAAAGGGCAGACCAGCCCTCTTTCCTTCTCAAGTTCCAGTCAGCTTTCAGCAGTTGAACAGCAACTCATGCCAACTGTTTTTTTCGGGCACTCAATCGGAAGCAAAGGAGCCGAGGCTTCTTTTTGTTGTTTTTTTGCAAGTCATTTGTGCCGTCGCTTAGTCAGGGACCTTCGGCGCAAAGCTTACCTTCTAATAGTTGTTTTTGTTGCGATCCGTCAAAGCCAAGGAGAAATGGTGTTTCTTGTACAGGACCTTTTTACTGGAAACTTGAGAGGGAGCAGGGTTGTGGGATCAAGGGGTTTATCCAACCACTTCTGTGATACAAGGGAATCTCCCTCTTCGTATGGGGGTTCGTCTTTGGGAAGCCCTTTCTGTTGTATCACACAGAAGTGGTCATTTCCCACAGCCCTGTTGCGATCCGTCAAAGCCAAGGAGAAATGGTGTTTCTTGTACAGGACCTTTTTGCTGGAAACTTGAGAGGGAGACACAGAAATCATCCAAAGCTTGCTGGTGCTTCAGGGGATGAGGGAATAACCCTTATACGTCTTCCCCTGTGGTTTCCTTTAAGGGGATCAAAGCCTGAGTTCATTGCCGCATTCCCCACTTATCGCGCCAGCTTTGGAGCATAGCAATGTTCTAAGGTGTTTATATACATATATATATATATATATATATTACACCCTGAGAATACACCCTTGGGAAATAACCCAGAATGGTTAAAAAAAAAAAACACGGTTTTCTCCGGAAATGTGCCAAAAAAAATGGGGTCAACACCCAGTGGGTGTATTCCCAGGGTGTAATGCAAAACCCCTCAGACATGTGCGACCCAGGCGGCAAGACGAACAAGGAGAACGCCCGGAACAAGCCGCTGCTTATGACCCTTCAAAGCCCTGCACCCAGTTGCGGGGGTTCATCAAAAGGTCCGGTAAACATGGGATGCATAGGCGTCCTTTGTAGGACAGTTTGGTTAAAAATAGATGGATTCCACTGGTTTAGATGGGTTGTGTTCCATTTACCAGGGCCATCTATTTTTCCAAAGGGCCACCTATGATGGGATGACCATCAGGGAAACCACCGAAAAACCGAACTTCCCCCACCAAACGGGAAAAGCTACCCATGCTCATTTGGGGCCAGGAATATTGATCATCCCCAGTTCCAAGCATGTTGCTTTACCTCCGCAGAACCCTACTTTTGGTGGCTCCCAGCCATCCGGTTCCTGAAGCGTTTCCATCTTTTTAGTTGGTTTGGTTTGGTGTTCATTTCGCCCACTTTTTTGTTAGTCACTTTTCGCGGGGCATCGCCCAGGATTGAAAGGGAAACCAAGGGACACCACTCCAGGCTCAATCCTTGAGTTTCCAGACTGCCACTTGTTTGGTTATTGGAGGGATCTGAGCGCGACATGTCCAGCGGGGTTTCTTAGGTCTTTTCTGTTCAACTGGAACGTCGCCGTTTTTGCGCCTCCCAGCAATTGCCTCTGACTCTTGCATGGTGAAATGTCGGGTGTTCAGAAAGTGCGACATGTGTCCATGAATTCTGCGATGGCACCCCCCAGAGGGTAAACCGGGGTCAGGAGATTGCTTTTTCTGGCCGTTGGGTGTACGAAACAGTACAAGCAAGCCTTGCCCGGCAGGCACAACATGGGGCTTCAGGGGCACCGGGTCATGATTTGAGGGTTTCTGGGAGTACCCTTCCATCAACATGCAATCAACATGAGAGGGCCCCTTTAAACAGGTTTCATGTTAGTAGACTGGAGGGTAAAGCAAAGTCAGACACGGGGGTGGTTTCTCTTCAACCTACTTGTGACTTGGGTAAGATCTCACGGGGAGAGATGGGGCCATTGCGGATCGGCTCGCCTCTTTAGTGGCTCGCCCAGGACTACCCTTCATGGAAGTGGACAGGATAGTTTGGACAATTCTCCGCTTCCATTTGCTGAAATGAATATGTGTTGTTTTCCCCTGTTGGTTTGAACAGGAATCTATCACTACTGGAAATATTCCGTATTTTGTTTTGGGGGCTGACTCAAATGGAGGTCGCAAAAACAAATGGGGCGGCCACCCTCCTCCTGCCAAGGAAAAAATCGAAGTCCACGCGGCTCGAGTTCTCTGGTCCAATTTCCCCTGCTGGTGTGAAACGGAGTCTATCCGCATCTATCCAAACACTTAGTCTTGGAGGGCGCCCACGACCCTCCCGGGGAAAAAAGAGAGAGAAGCAAAAAGAGAGCAGGCCCACGAGCCTCCTTCTGCACCAACCAAAAAAACACACACCACCCCGCACAGCTCGGGTTTTCTCGCGTCCAAGGCCGTGCGGTGAAGGACAAGCGGGCCCGCACCGCCAAGCAGAAGCTGGCCACCATGAAGGGCCACATCAAGACCCTCAGGCGAGAAGCGACAGGGGCGAGCACCTTGAATTGGCGGAGGTCAAAATTCTTGCGGATGGACGGTTTTTTGTTGTTGGACAGTTTCCCATTTGGCTGTGGCTCAAAATTTAAGAGCTAGGGCAAACCGCAGGTTTTAGTCTTTGGTTCCATTTACCCAGGTGCCATTGTAGTACATGTTTTTGAGCCACAGCCATTTACCCACACAACCAGGGACCCCTTCAAATCCAAATGTCCAAGCCAGCGGGCTGCAAGAACCGCCAAGGGTAGACTTGAACTACGGGTGGAGGGAATCCAACTCGCACCACGAAATGAAACCATGGGAAACCCGTTGTTTGTTGGATTTACAGGGGAATCATCATTCCAGGGTTTCTTAGGTTGTGCAGGATGTGCAGGGTTGTGGGATCTCGAGGTTTAATCCCCAACTTCTGTGATAGGGCTAGGCCTGCTGTATGTTAGTTTTTCAATTGCCCTTTTCGTTGTATCACGGAAGTTCAACACACATGGGGGTGGATCTCAACAATAGAGTAACCCCAAAATTGGATCCTGGCAAGTGGTGGCATGGACTAAAACCTGCGGTCCATTTCCTGGTGGTTTGATTTCCCATACCCAATTGGTCTCCAGGAAAATGCCTGCCGGAAATCATGTGAGACACAACTACATCTATATCAGCAGCATTGAGCAGCCTTTAAATGATTTGCTGTGGCTCAAAACGCCCGGAGTTCCAAATCCACAATGGCTAACCCTGGTAAGTGGAAAGAAATCGGAGTCCCACCACCTGCGGTTTGCCCCGATCAGCCACACCCAACTGGAGAATTCGCCCGTTGGAAGGCCTCCCGAGTTGAATTCCCGCAACGAAAAGCGAAATCCGATTCGAACCACGACATGAGTTACCATGATGTTGAAGCCAGATCGTTTGTTGGTATTTACAGGGGGAATCGAATCATTCTGGGGTTTCCTAAATGCTGCGAAATGGATTTCGTCCATCCACAGTAGGCTTTGGAGTCCCGCAACCCCGAATTGGATTGGGTTGGATTGCTGGTTTGGATTTGGATTTGAACATATGATCTATGATTACACACATCATCAGCTTATAATTATTTTGATGACTTGCCTTAGTCTTAACGTACAACACACTAGCCCTTATATGCGCTGAACCTTAGTTAGCGGAAACACACTGCCAAATCAACAAGCGTTGGAAATGTGTATTGTGGCATTCGCGTGGAAAAAATGAATTGGCTCGAGAGCTAACGTGTGGCATGTCACATGTCTGTGGGCCAAGTGCATTGGAAGACTGGCCTTTAGTTTTCCAAATTGTCCTGGGCGCCAACCTCGGGTCTATATACTGTTCTTTCGCATGACCACACAAATCAGATTCAAACTGTTGGCTCCTTGGCTTATTTGTTTGCATGTTTTGACTTGCGTGTCTGAGAACCCAGCCACAAGGCATTCCGTAGGACATGGTCCAAATAGCAAGCAAATACTAAGTTTCGTTTGACGTTTTGATGTCCCTTAAACACAACCGCATGGCCTAAGAGTTGCCCATGTGTTCGTTGGCTGCAGGATTGCACCCCTCGCATTTGGCTCGTGCCAGGAAGAATGCGAATCATCCCAAGCGGCGGCGCTGAGGTGGATGTCGGCACAGGTTTATAGAAAGAGGCCCGGTCAAAATATCAGTGGTCTATTGTCCATTCGAGAGCAATGGGGAAGACTCTCTGAATTCTCACAAAAGTCAGGGGACTCACTAGTTGTCCAATGTCCTTTACGGCAACCGAATATTCCGAGCATGGCCCGCATGAGCTCTGTGAGAACCCTACACACACACACACACACGTGGTTTGACATACACGCGCCCCTGCCAACCCACAGACCGACACGCACGTACACGCCCAACGCCAAGACACCAGCTCGCCAACACACCAATGTACCAATACGCCCCAGCACGCCCAGACAGCAACACACCAGCATGGCATTACACCTGCAACACACAGGACACACACACACACACGTTTCTACACGTGATTTCTTTGTGTTTTGTGTTGCTTCAGCAAGGCAAAGATATAACTTGACAATCTTGAGCCTGACTCTTCGTATGCAGCAAGCCTTCCTCCAGCTTGTCTAGTTCAGTGTCATGGATATTTGTGTCCTTTTTGGCCCTGGTTTACCTGGTGGTTTAATGATCTACCAGGGCCATCCATTTCCCCTAAAAGGACACCTATGGTCATGGAAGGTTGATGCGGTCAATTCATATTGATGTAAGGCATGAGCTTCGTGAGCGGAAGCAACGCCTATTTGGGCAGATGTGAGCACCGCGAAGCCGCCAGGACCTTGCGGAGAATCTGAGCAGTTCTTGTTTCACCTCTGCGTGAAAGTGTTCGCACAGGGTGCCAAAAGCACGTTTGCTTAGCCGCGAAGCCGTTTTGTGGCAGCGTTTGTCCGTGGCAGCGTTTGTCCGGGTTTTGTTACGTTTGAATGGAGCTGCCCACCCATTTTCTCTTTTTGTGCTGGACCCTGGTCGTTTGAGGTTAGAGAACACGCAGACTCTCTCCAAAGGTTATCTTTAGCTGCATGGGGGCTCAGCACTGAGCTACATGTGGGTGTTTCTTAACCTACAAGACCCCCAAACTGGTGGTTTCGTCGCTGGTCCTTTCGAAACCACCCCACACAGGGTGACCCCCTCAAACAAGACGCGCCGATGTAGGCCAGCTTCCATCTTATTTGGGTGTCATGTTTATCACCTGAAGCTGACGCGGTATCCGACACCAGGATCTTCCAAAGGTAACCTGGCATGTGGCCGTGCTTCCCCTTGCTTTCCTTACATTCAATCCCGACAAGGGAAGTTTTGCACATGACATGCCACCCATCTTATATGTTAGTGGTTGGTTATTGTGGAGAAGGAGGCGGTATCCGCGGTGGCAGTGGTCGAGCTGGCTTGCAATGTGGAAGCGTTTTTTTTTTTAAAGCATGTCATTAATCTGTGTATCTCGGATTATTCCATCGGACTTGGCTTTCGAAAGAAGGATGACAACTGCAGCACTAGGTGAGAGGAAGGGCTGGCTGTGTCTCCTGGAAAGTATATATATATATACAATATCTTTACAACAGGGAGTTGATTGCCAATGTGCTGGTTGCATGCTTGGAATCGCTTCTGTGTGGCGAGTAGCTCGCTTGCCTCTATGTAAGTGTGTGTGTGTGTGTGTGTTTTTTCCCGGATCTTGGTTCTTGGCTTTAGCCCAGTCAAGCGCACCAGCCGGTTTCAGCCAAAAGCCGCATCCGCTGATGCCATGCAAAATCAGAGTGCTGCCTTCCAATCGTTTGAGCAAGCAACATACTGCACGCACGTGCCACTGAACTACTCACTGGGACCACGAATTCGAGCAATACACAGGCCCCTCATGGTTTGAAGAGATATCTTGCTTGGGGCACACCCTGCCGGGGCACAAAGTTAATTTGAGCACAGTATGTAGCAGAGACTTGTGATTTTGATTGTGCGGGAGTGATAACACCCTTCGCATAGCATGATGTGCAACCATGACTGAGGCTGGGCCTGTCGCCAAATGGACAGCATAGACCCTTCGTTCTAGAACACAGCGCATGTCCGTAGTTTGCAAACCTTATTCAATTGTATTCAACAAACGGCTTGCTTGCTTTGCCAAAATGGCAATTGAATCGGCATGGCATGGGTCACAGTATGAGCGCGACCGCAAGGTAATACCAACATATCGACACGCACTCCTGGTGTGTGTGTGTGTGTGTTTCGACTTAAGCTATTGATTCCATATCTTCAGTCTTGGCAGATTTGATGGTAATTGTGAGTTCGAGAGGCTGTAAGCCCATGTCATGATGGGATATACCAAGAAGTAGTCTGTGAAGCGTTTGTTTCATGTGTCTAGAAGGAGAGCCTCGTTGCTCCAGCCATGGAGTGGAGTGGCCCTCGCTCCTACAGGCACTTGGGGGCCTGGGCCTGTGCTTCTCTTGAAAAGGCGTTTCGCATGTTTACCCTCTCACTCACATAGCACCTGACAGACCTTCCAAATGCTCTCTCACGATGCCAGGTAAGAGGGGAGGTGTAGCATGTTCTTCATGTGTGCTCCTTTGTGTCCTCCTTTGTCTTCTCCTTTGTGTCCTTCTTGTCCCGCCGTCCTTGTTGTTTGTTTTACCAGCTTCTCAGCCTCGGCTCTGCTCCCCAGCCTCTCCGACATGACTTTGACGGACTATGATCCAGCAATGTTCACCCATCGGGTGTTGCTCTGCTGCTTTTGGGTCGGATCTGTAGACGTTCACTTTTTGGATACCTTCATACTGTGGATGGACGAAATCCTGCATCATCTAAGAAACCCTGGAATGAGTCGCTTCCCCTGTAAATACCAACCAACAATGGTTTCATCCACGGTTTCCAAGTGGTGCGAATCGGATTTCGTCCATCCACAGTATGTCCCTTCAACCTGCAAAAGACGAACAACCTTTTGCCGGAAACTTTACAGAACCCAAGGGTCCGGCAATCCGGACACCCGACACCCGGGGTTCGAGTCTCGGTTGTTGTTGGAAAACATTTGAAGCATTTTTGATCTTATTGTGGCATAGTGGTTGAAATCCAAGCACAGAACTGCAAACAGAAAATGAGTTGTTTTTTCTCTCCTTCCAAGGTCAACCAAGGAGTAGTGTCCCCTTTTTCAATCTGAGGCATGAGGACATGGGCCGTGAGTCTCATGAAGCTTTCCTTCAAAAAGGCCTGTGCAGCGATGCCTTCATGAGGAGAGGCTCAAAAAAACTGATCAGCGGGGTCAATGAAAGAGGGATCGCAAAGACCAGGTGGTTTCCAAGCAGGGTTTCTTTGGAACATATTGCCGGGGTGCACGATGCATCAAGACTAGACGTGCGAATATTTGGGGATGAAAGGATGCTTGCAGCAAGTGATTGGCATGTTAGTGTTTATAGGGGCAAATATTCGGACTCAACAATTATGTTGCTAGTACCCCCAAAGAAGGTCCACCTCCAAAGGGGGTCCACCTCCCATTCTCTCCCATTCTGGGCCTCACCGGCCATGTGAAGGAACTGGCAACTTGTTGCCGAAGAGGCCTTTCCACCAGCTGACATGAAAGAAGTGCACAGACCCATTTCTGTAGAAGGACGGCTTTCCTCTTGGTTAGTTGGCCTTTTTGCACTTCCATGTGAGTAGGCGGGAGAGAAAAGTCTGATTTGCCCTTGACCTCCAGGTCCTTGCTGGAGGCCTTGCGACAAGAGGAGGCACAGTCTCTGGCTGGCTGGGAGATTCAGTTCGCGTGGCATTTGCAACCCTTGCTCTGTGCTAGCAGTTGCGATCCAGTTGCGAGCAAGCAACTGATTGGTTTCTAGGACCTTAAAAAAAAACGAAGGAGGTAGAAAACCACTTTGGCACTGAGCGTTTTGCGCAAGACCCACTGCGGATTTCGGAGCGGGTCATCCCCGCCCTATCATTTGGTCGTCGTTCGTATCCTGTCCTCCCCTCTCCAGGTCTGGCCCTCTCCGGCTTCAGCAATAGGAAAGTAAGAGGAAGCTGTGTTTGTTTCATTCCAAAAGAATGGATTCGCGCGAGGGGGGGGGGGGGGAACCTGAATGACTGAAGGCCTTGTTTTGTTGCCCAAAACGCAATACGACTGCTGCTTCAAGCTAGCTGCTTGGTTTTGGGAAGGGCGACCCTGAAGACTTTGAAGAGTGTTGGTAATTAGAACTTGTGCCTTGCAATTTGTGATTTTGAGGGGCCAACAATACACTCTTTGTTGGGATTTGGTGGGTACCAAAATGGATTGGAAGGGGGGGGGGGGCGACGTAGAATATTGGCTGTCAAGCGCGGGGAAAAGGACAGTCTTTACTCGCAGGGGATTATTAGTTGTGGGTCAACCATACTGTCACCAGCCGGTTTACGAGATGCATTCCCGTCAGATACTAGACCTGTTCTGTGTTGGAACGTTCGCCCGGCGGCTGAAAGCCGAGCATTGCAGGCCACACAAACCGAGCACCCCTCACACAGTCACTCAAATGGCCGTGGGTCAAAACCAATGGTATCCCATTTTGGGGTAAATTCACCACCCAATTTTAGTCTATTTTAGTGGGGATTGGGATGTTCACTGGGGGTACGGGATTTTGACCCATGGCCAAATAGTGGTGCTTGTGGACGGCCACCCAAGTTTCTTGACGCGAAATCTTCAGCGGGAACTGCTCACGTCTCTTGGTGTCAGAGCACAGCCTGTTCAGGGCGAAAAGGTGCGTGACCTCTGGCAATGCGAGCCTTTCCGCTGACCTTCCAATGTTTATCTCTGTTGCCCAGTGGTGCCCTTGTTTCCTTTTTTGGGGTAAGGGTTTCCCCTTTTGAACTCAACCAACAAAAAAGGGTGCCATTTTTCCCCTGGCCACTAGGATCTGAGTTATGTTTTACGTAACAATCTTGCTTTACGTAACAATCTGACCACAGGTGTCCTTTTTGGTTGTTTTGCTCGAAAAATAGATGGGCGTGGTTTACCTGGTGGTTTAATAATCTACCAGGGCCATCCATTTCCCCTAACAGGAAACCTATGAATCTGATGTTTGTGGGCTTGGGGGTGCGAGGTATAATCTGGTGAGACATGGCTGGTGTCCAAAACCCCGCATTCCCGCCTTCCTACACAACGAGAACACAATCCACATAATTCTGCAACTTGTGCAAGTTTCCCATTGCCACCCACTACGGGTTGCGTAGGTATCAACAAGGTGCCTTGCACTGCTTTTTGCTTTGGTACTCGAAGGAAAGACATGACATCAGTGGCAAGAGGCATACATACCAAGAAGTTACAATGCAGAGGCCTGGTCTTATCTTGTCCTTTCTTCTAAAGCAAGCACTGTTGTGCTTACTGGCATTTCACGCCTTTTGTGATGCTACCCTTTCTTTGCTTTCCTTGTGATAGGAAGGCTAAAAGGATGCCGTGAATTGGCGGGCTCGCCCATTGGAGCTATGTGCATTCCTGGAGGAGCTGGAACGGCAGTTGGAGCTTGAGGCTCAGCATGCGTGCCGCACTGAGATGAATCCCGGGAGAGGACATTTCCACTACCTAAACCGATTTTGGGGATTTTGGGGTGTGCTTTTGAACCCAGATGCTTTAATGGTCCCAAAAAGAAGCAACAAGGGATTGTGTTGTTTGAAGTGTTTCCAGACCCCGAAGAAGCACCCAGACTGTAAGCAACAAAGGTGCATACACGCCCTTTCAACCGATCTATAGCAGTGAAATGTGGCGATCTTCCCAGAAAGGAGCGGTTTGGAGTGGGTTTCCACATCTTCTCCTCGTTTTGCCGGTGCCTTGATGTTTAAGGGGCGAGATTTTTGACTCGACTCGCTATCCCAGGAAAGGATCCCTGAACCCTCTTGAAACTGGACGAGCCTCTCGCCAAGAAGCATCTGGGTTGTCAAGGGTACCGTGTTTCAACAAGTGCCCGGCGTTCAACGAGTGACGGATCCCGTTTTTCTGGCGTCCGATCACCCTGTCACATTCGATTCGATTGGTCACATGAGGGAGCTGTGACTTGATTCTACTCGTGCCAGGGAAGCTGGAAGGTCACTGAAATTGTTACATTCAGGTTGGAATTGCCAGTTTTAGGTGCCTCACGTTTTTGTTGGGATGGACCCCAGCTAGAATGATGCAGGAGCCCCGACTCGTTTGTGGTTTGTTGAGTTTGATAGTACATCGAGGCGGGTGTGTCTTTTTTGGTGGTACCCCTTTTTGGGTGACTAGGGGTCCCAGCTAGGTGCCCTTTTACCTTTTTTTCTTCTTGTTTTTTTTCCGTCTTGGAGGGTTCCCCTACCAAAATAGACTACAGAAAAAGAAAAAAAGAAGAAACAAAAGAAGTCGGGCACCCTTATTCGAACTGCTCAAATCTGGAGTTCCTAGCCAAGTTGTTTGGTTGCTGGGTTCTATTCATTTTTAGTGGGGGGCTGCAGAAAACATCAAAAGGACCATCTGGTGAGCTTTAAAGGCACATCAAAAGGACCGAGTCCGCTGCACGCCGATCCTCGGGTCCGGCCGATGCGCGCGGAGTGCATCGAGGCAGGCCGAGTCCGCCGAGTTGCGTGCACAGATCTTCTCGGAGCCTGGGAGCCCAGGATCTGATGAACTTTCTTTGGGCTCCCGGTCATAAGCCCGCGAAAGGGGTCCCCCCAACAGCTTTTTGCGCTTAAGAGCAGTAACACTGCACATTGGGGGGTAAACATCGAGAACCCATGACTGGGGTAAAACTTTCTTTTTGGGTTTCGGGAGTCTTACCATTCATCTAAGAGATGAAAGGTAAATAATAAAAGACTAGAAAGATAAATAGCTTTTATTGTTGGGATTCTTCTTGGGACCCCCTCTTTTGTTCGTGGAAGTGGAGGCTACGGCCAGTTGTAACAGTTGTAGGGGGGACTTCAGGTTTGGGTGGGTCATGGTGAGTCTTGTTTGTGGAAGTGGGGGCCACGGCCAGTTGTAACAGTTGTAGGGGGAAAATCAGGTTTGGGTGAGTCCAGTTACCAACTTTTGTACGGGAACCCATCCGTGGTAAAAACCAGAGGTAAGGACTTCTGAAGCTCAGTGGTGCCTGCGCCAATGTTTTCCTGGATTCGTTTTATGTCAATTTCTCGGACAAAATCCCGTGGGAAACAAGGAATCACCCCGTAGTGGGAGCGAACCCCGGCCTGGCTTGTCAGGGAGCCAAGAGCGGGGGATGGCCGAACCGGAGCTTCCCCAGCGGTTCAACTAGAAACGACGGTTTTTGACGTGCTCCACATTCAGAGACTTTACAACGCGGGAGAATGCAATGATTCAACCATGGCGAATCTTGTTCACTGTTGAACTTGCGCAACCTCCTTTTTGTTTCAGCACAGGAGTTAACCCATCTTCAGCTGTAACTGTGAAGTCTTTTCGCGCTTCCACCCCTTGTAGAAAACAATTGCATATCTTCTGTTTTTTCCCCAAAGTCTTGCTTGCCCATAGGGGACACCTAAGCGCTTGCAGAGGCGTATATTTCGTTCCCCCTTTTCTCACTCCCCGAGTTCATGGACCTTAGTCACTTTTTGGGCTTGGTTTACATTTTAGCGGCAAACAATCAGTTTGGACTTGTTTGTCCCATCCAGGAAGAGAGTGGTTGAGCTATCTTCACTGTTCTTGGCATGTTTTTTGTTTTTTTTAGTTTTTTGGTTCTGTTCATTTTTACTGGGGGTCTGCAAAAAAAATGTTTTTTTGCTACCATACCAAGAGTAGAGATGCTATGGATGTTGAAAGCTTTTGAGCCAGTGCGCCGTGGATCGAAGGGCCCATGCCCAAGCAGCTGCAGAGGAGAGCGCTCGGGACTCGGGGGCTCAGAAATTCGAGTGCGATCCGGTCGAGCGGCGGTTCGACGGCGCCTTAGATCAGCTTCCCTCCAATTGGTTTGGGTTGGTGGGTTGGGATTTGAAGCCCTGGTTCTTGTAGAGGCTACATCTTAACCACCAAACCACCAATTAAAGGGAGTCTGACCAGACTGTTGGCTTGGAGCTTAGATGGGGGGTTGATCAAAAGGTCAGGTAAACATCGGCTGACCACTGGGGAAACCACACCAAAATGACAACCCACCACTAGATGGGAACCAGTCTTCCAGGGTCATTTTGGGGCCAGGAAAATTGATCAGCCAGATGGATTTCAGACAGACCAATGCTTAAGTTTGAGAAAAGATCAACAAGATTCCACACGCCAAGCAAACATACCGGCATATGCGTGGCCCTGTTTCTACTTGCCTGCAGAACCCGAAGCCCTGAAACACACCGTGCGGAAATTTGTGGCAGCATTTGGGGGAACCTTTTTCTGGGGAGTTCCAGGCGGAAATTTGCAGGGAGCAAGAGGGCCGCTTTTCTGGCTATGGCTTGAACAATGGCTTGTTTTGGGCCCATGCAATTGGCCAGGTTCCGTGATCCAGTGTGCCGTTTCGACCACGCACTTGCTGGGGGCCCTTGAGCTGTTTTTTCTTGTAGTAGGCCCAGGGAACAAATATATATATATATATATATATATTTGTGCAGGAGTTTGAGCACCTCAACGGCGTTTGCAACACCAGAGCGGTCTTGGCTACGCCGCCTTTGGCTTTTCCAACGTACGCAAAAGCATATATGCGAAGGCTTGCAAGCAGTTCACCACAACATGGGAAGGACATCTTTTGGAGCCCCTTAGGGCGCAGGGCTGTGAGTTACGTACACGGGGCACAAGCCAAAATCATGCAAACATCAGACTACCTTCAGAGGAAGCAGGCGACGCCAAGAATGCAACCTTCTGTATGCACTGGCCCCAACGCCGTTTGTAGCCAAAGTTGAATTTCTATCACTCAGATGCCATTTGCTTCAAGAAATGTAAATCATCCGTTGTTGGAGGCCCAGATTAGAAAAGGGCTTCATCCCCCATTTTGGCCATCGTCGAGCGCCCAAAATGGCAGGCTTGCTCCACCACTTGCCACTAAGAAGACTACAAGCTAGAGGTACTGTTTCATGGAAATTCATGTGGCTGTGGTTGTCAAAACCGGTTTGGGCTCCCATGTTGGTTGGTAGGTGAATTCACCACCCATTTTAGAACCTATTTTAGTGGGGATTGGGATGTTCACTGGGGGTACGGGGTTTTGACCCATGGCCATGTGTTTTTCGTTGTTCCCTATTTGCAATAGAGTAGGTGGACAGAATCATGCAATTCCTAGGTGGTTTATCGCAGTATTTGGCCTTGATCAACCATACACATGGGCTTCACCGGGATGAGTCAGAGGCAAGCCCAGACTCGGCCATGTATCCAGCGAGAATGAGACTCCGCAAAAAACGGGGCTGGGCTTTGCACATTGTCCCAGAGGCCCCCAATTTAAGACAATCCCTTTTGTTGACGTTTCGAGCCGCGACCCATTCCTGTCTCTGAACTTTGGAGTCGGAGTCTGACTCAAGGATAGCCTCGCGATCGCTGCGCCTACAATATGGCTGTTGTGTATTTTCCACAGACGATGGCCAAGCTCATTCGCCACTGCTTTTGCATCAAAGTCACAGCCGAGACCTTGCAGCGTGCCCATCCTCGTTCTGATTTTTCAGCCCACCTTCCGATTCAAGCAGTGCCGTAACGAGGGACTGGGCCTTGAAATATGCAGCTGTTGCGTTCGCTCGTTCCCGGTGTTTTCCGAAGGCGGCTGCTCTCGAAATGTACCTTCAGGCAGCCCGGGACAAGGCCGCGCCTGAAGCATGCGGGGCTTGATCAATATTCTGTTCGGCTCCAAAATGAGACCATGGAGAACTTTCCCCATGCAGTGGTGAACGTCTTCTTTTTGTGCGGTTTCTCCAATGGTCGCCTATGCAAAGGACCTTTTGATCAACCCCATGAAGCGCAGACCGTGTTTGCCAGTTTCAGACGCAGTCTGATTCAAGAACTCGCTTCTCAGTTCGAAATGAATGGAGTGCATTGTTGTCGGCATTCTCGCAGGCCCAACAGTGGTCAGTGCATCGTCTGTACACGCGGAATTCGGATCGTCTGTACACGCGGGACCGGATCGTCTCTGCACGCGGGCCTTTTTTGCCCCGGATCGTTTGTACACGCAGTGCTTACTGCTATGCACAAGAAGGGACAGGGGCGTTGACAGCTGCATGTTTCCTTGCCTTTCTGTCGTATGAACATAGGAAATGTTGTGTTCCGTTGTCTCCTGTGCGGTTTACCTCTGTCAGCCGCTCTCAATTTTGCTCGGGGTAAAGAATGTGGTGTATATGTTCTTGCATTAAAGGTTTGACAAGTCTCTTGCACTTCGTGTGTAAATCAAAACAGACTTTCGCCCGGCTTCGCTTTCACCCAGCCCCCACCCCCACCCCCACCCCCACCCCACCCCCCCTCCCCAATACCCCACCCCATCTGTTACGCGTGAGCGGGTGCGCTTGCTGGGTGGCAGGCGTGTGCGCAGTGCTGGGCGGGCGTGTGTGAGCGGGTGTGCCCCACCCCACCCCAACCTCCCCAAAGCCTGACCCCAGCCCAGCCCACCCTGAGCAGGCGCTCATTAAGGCGGCAGGCATGTGTTGCACGTGAGTGGGCGTGCTTATCAGGTGGCAGGCATGCGTGCAGCGCTGGGCGGGCGCGCGTGAGCGGGTGTGCTTATTAGGTGGTAAGCGTGGATGCAGCGCTAGGCGGACGCGCGTGAGCGGGTGTGCCCCACCCCGCCCCGCCCCAGCCCCCACCCCCACCCCACCCTTCCCCAATACCGCACCCCATCTGTTGCACGTGAGCGGGTATGCTTATTAGGTGGCAGGCATGTGCTTACCATTCCCCCGCCTCCCCACCCACCCCCCACCCCTTCGGGCTACTCTTCCGCATGCGTGGAAACAGCGCTGAGCGGGTGCACTTGAGCGGGTGTGCTTACCATTCCCCCCTCCCCCCCACCCCCCCCACAGTGCTGAGCGGGCGCACTTGAGCGGGTGTGCTTACCAATCCGCCCCCCCCCACCCCCCCACCCTGCCAAAAGTGTGTGTGTGTGTACAGATGAGCCAGATGACAGAAACCTTGTGTGCGCAGATGATCCAGAGTGCATGGCGCAATAAGTGAGGAAAGCCTGTGTGTACAGATGATCCAGATTTGTGTGCGCAGATGATCCCCTGCCCCCAACAGTTGTTTACTCCAACCATGCTGCATGGGGCACAGGTCGAGATGTTTGAAGCTTGAAAAGGGGTTCTGGTATATGTTTCTGGGGTCATTATGTTGACTCTTTCTGGGGAAAATGTGGTGTTGTCCCTTTAATCAGTAACTTAGAGGGTGACTTTGATCATTGTAAACTACTGAGGAATGTGTTTGTGTGGGTGCTTTAAACACAGCTTTCACATTGTCTTTTGGGGCAATGTCCACTGAGTTACCCTGCCTTGGTAGAGGGATGTTTGGACGCAGGTTCAGTCAAGTTCAGTGAACATAGCCAGTCTACTGTCAATTTGGGCGGGCCATGGGAACTTATCCAAAATGGCACAGCAAACACCCGGGACAAGCCTTTGTGAGGTTGATCAAAAGGTCCTGTACACGGGATGACCATTGGGGAAAACCACGAAACATATGACATGTCGCACTAAATGGGACAAATTAACCATGATCATTTCGGGGCCAGGAAGGAATAGTGATCAACCCCAATATTCTTTATCCCTGACATCATTTGCAGATTTTGTTTCATGTCCAGCAGGGAGAGCCGGTGTTTTGGTTGTTTGCATTCACATTCCTGTTCTTGTCATTTCAAAATATCATTTTATACTTTCGACCAAGCAAGTGAGTCAGCAACTGGAGATTCCCAAGGACGAAACACGCCGGTGCCATCCAGCTCCGTTTCTCTTCAACTGTTTGCCGAGCGTTTTCTTTGATTCATGCAGAACGGAAAGAAGGCTGGCTCGCGAAGTCCGGGTCTTTGTTTTTACTTTACTCTTTGTTTGGGGCCTGGTTAAATGAACCAGCTTCCTCGCGGCTATCCAAGCAAAACAACACCAGGACACGGAAACCGTGTTATTTGATCGAAGCCTTGGGCCTTGCGCGAGGCAGCGGATGCCTGGGCGAAGCACGAGGAGTCGCTTGAGCAAAACCTGTCTCACCCCGCGAATTTGGGTATGGATCAACATGCCACCAGAAAGCCGCATGTTTTAGTCCCTGTTTCCATTTACCAGGGTTCCATCTGGGTACCAATTTTTGACCCACAGCCATTTGAAGGCTACAAAACAGGTGGGCGCCCGTCGTTCCCCTTTGTTCGGCCAGTCTGAAATTTCCACAGATTTTGCCGGGTCTTAGCTTGGGTCAAACAAAACAGGTGGGCCCCCCAAGGGTCCAGTTGTGAACGCTGGCGTCCGAATTCGCTTCGTCTCTTTCCCGCCAAAGGGAGCATGTATTCGGGGCAGGTCTATCCCCCATTCACCCAACATCGAAGTCCTCTTTGGGCCAGTGAGCACCTGGCGGTGGACTGCCTGACTGTGCCTCGACGTTTGGGTATTTAGGTCAGAGGCAGCATGGCCCCGTTCAATGGGGTATTAAAAGGTGGATCTTTCAACAGCTGTTCGGCCATTTTCATACTGCTTGGGCTCAGCTTGATCGGAGGGAGGGGAATTCTTGTTCGCTGAGTGGCTTGGTAGTGAACAAGGATCCCTTCCAATGTAATCAGGACTCGGTTATGGGTCCAGGTCGCATAGTCCTTTCAGTCAAACCTTGCAGAATGCAACAGTGCCTTATCTAAGCAGGGCATTGTATATATTTCCCGCGTCCCAAAACCAACGCATGCAGAGCATGACAGAAAGATTGGTACTTCCCTTGAGAAGTACATTTTTTTTTGTTATCTGTGTCGGCATCAAGTGGGGAACACACCCAACAGCCTTTCACACCTGGCAAGCACAGAAGCCCAGAAATATGCAATCAAAAAAAGTGTCCTAAGACACCACAGTCGGGTAAAGTCGTGGTCAGCATCTCCGCCCACTCGGCAGGGTGTTTTCGTCAACCCCTTTGTGAAGAAAGCCAAGGATTCACAATATGCCCTTGTCATTCAATAAGGGGTGTTCTTTGTGCGGAACCCACATGAAATGGGTGGCAATCATAACGACGTAAAGCAGGGTTTACAACCTCAAGAATGCAGGTTCCTTTCTGGTTGCTTTTTGGGTGTTGCACAATGAACCACCCATTCAAAGCTGCGATTCTGGCAAGGAGTCCCCGAGAGAAGAGAAGCTGGCGGGTTTACACTCCAAGGGATGACCCAAAGGAAGCTTCATTTTCCATGTTTTTTTTTCGGGGCCGCAATATTTAGGGGTGCAAATGAGCGAGCCCCAGTTTGAGCTCCTAGAGTCAACCCAGAGTATTGGATGGTTCCTTGAGGTCTCACCAAAGGTAGAGATACCCAAGTCCATTTAGTAAATCGCTTGAGGTTAAATCTGCAGGGTGAATCCATGATTTAGAGATTCTGAACCTATGAGTAGACGAGAGTTGTGGAAAAACAGCAGGGAAGGTACTAGATTGCTTCACCTGCCAGCGCTCCAAGCGTCTTGCAGGTAAAAGTATGTGGGTCAAACCAAAGCCAACAATAAAAACGCCCACCATTTTGAGTGGTCTTACTTACAATGTCACACCCGTTTACCAAAGGAATCCATGGCTTCCTTTTTTGTCCGGAGCTCGAGGGCCTCCGACGTGCCACTCGACCCAGGCCGCTGCAGCGCGCGGCGGTGCAGTTGGCGCGGGCCCGGCGCGGCGCGGCGGCTCGGGGGCCGAGCAACGTGAGATATCGGCTTCCGGGGGATTTGGGGGTCTCAGTCCCAGTAATGTCAACCCCGGATTTAAGTAGAACCCCTGGTTGATTTTGATCGGGGGGTGTCCCCTTTTAGTGGGGATTCATCACTTTGGGAGGGAGCACCCCCCTAATAGTGGGACGGGTTTATTAATCCAGGGTCAACATTAAGGGAAAACCACCCATTTGGTTGTCCCCCACTTTCTCGGTCCCAGAGTTCATGGACTTCAGTGACTTTTCTGTTTGGACCATTTGAGTGTCAAACAACAAGTATGGCTTAGGGGGAAAGCAGATAGCGCAACTCCAATCATGCTTGTACAAGGGATGACTAAACCAAACTGGTTTCAGATTCAGTTCGCCATCTATTGTCACCCAACTTTACCCCAGTTGGGTATCTGAAACAAAAAGGGGGACCTTTTTCGTTGGTGCATTTTTTGCCCCGATACCCTGGGAATCAACGTTGAATACATAATTTGAGAGGCTGCTTTTTATCCGAAGCTTCTGCTTAGGTTCTGGAGGAAGAGCATGCGGACAGATGGCAACAGCGTGGGTCTCAGATGCCCACTGAGCAGAGGCAGCTTTGCTATTTGCGCGAAGGTCCCGTGACTTGAGACTTGGGTCACCTTCACAAGGAGGCAGTCATGGTTCTTGGGAAACAGCTTACATTCTTGCTTCTTGTGGTTTAGTGGTTGAATTCCCCACCTAACTGCTAAAATTTAAGTTTTTGCTCCCCTTCCAACGTGAACCTTCACAAGGAGGCAAAAGGGCAAGTCTCTCCTGCCAGTCTTTGAGCCGCACGATGGGTCTAGATGTAGCGCAAACAGGAGGATGCGGGTCCAGTCAACATATTCTGTAATTTAGTCTACGGTCTCTTTTGAGAGATGGGGCTCACCTGTGTCTAATAAGTCATTGGAGAAAACCTTTTTTCCCAGCATCACAGAAGTGGAACGGCAATTCCCACCCCGCTATAAGTTGTGCAGCATACTCGGCAACTTGGAGTTTCCAACGTGTATTTATAAATAGAGCTTCACCATGTCTTCCATCCCGTTGTGTTGCCCTTGTGTTTTCTTTGTTTCTCTTGAATTGTGGCTTCCAACCTGGTTTCCAACGCGCGTCAGGCAGGAGAAGCTGCTTTGGCTTCAGCAGGAGGTGGCGCAGATGGATCTCCACGACAAGGTCTGCATCGATTTGGGGCGTCCTCAAATGGATTTGTTTTCCCGAAAGCTAGCAGTGCTAGCGGGAGTTCTAAGCTTGGCAACCCCTGGGTCGTGCATGTCGTTCTTGAGCGGGCTAGCTTTCGTTCACGCGCTTCTCAAGGTTGAAGGTACTCTTTTTCAGGTCCAAAGGGCAACCTGAAGGAAATGGTATCTTTGAAGGTTGCCCTATTTAAGGGGGCAGCCGAACCACAACAAAAATCAAAACTACGACAAGAAACACAACAACACCCTGTTTTGTGGTGGCTTTGCCTTCCGTTCAAACCCATTCCATCAAGCAGTTCCCCATTTGAGCAACAATCAAAACCCGGGTCGATGAAGGCTAGTAAGGGACAGTCCCAGCCATAAATGGGTGCGGCCGCCTTTTTATTTCCTTTGGACCATTTCAATACCAGGTTTTGATTGTGACTCATTTGGGTTTTGTTTATATATAGATTTGCTGAGGTCCGTGTTGATTTCTTGGGACGGTTCCAGCCGAAACCTCACGCGCTTTGGTTTTCCTTGAGCCATGGCGGCATGTCCCGGACACCATCCGATCAGAAAGACCTTTCCCTTGAGGCCAGCGGCCTCTTTTTTTGGGGGACACATGAAATGGCGACTTGTGGCATTGGGTTCTGCGCAGTGATTCGAACACTTCCTGAGTTCATGAACTTTAAACTTTTGGGGTTTGGACCATTTTAGTGGCAAATGTAAACTTTGGACTTTTTTTGGGCCATCCACTCAGCAGGTGAGTATTTGAACCCATTTGTGTCATGGGCTACTTGCCGCGGGCTTAGGAACTTGGCAATCGATCGGAGCTGAGAATGGGACCTTGTTTTTGGGCAAGCTGGAAAAAGTGAGTAGCACTCAGAGAGCACAAAGACGCGAAGTAAGTCTGGCGCACCCATTTCCTGGAAGGTCTCCAAATGTGTGGTGGCTGCACATATGGGTACCCAAACTTGTTTTTGCTCGCTATAGGTGCATGTCCGTTTGCCAGTGGAGCTATTTGATTCAGGATACGCTGGAGTTTCTGCATCATATTGTGCGTGTCCATGTTCAAACCCCGTCTTGCTGTTGCCATCTCACTTCCCCGGTTGCTGAACATGGAAGATCGTTGTGGCAAAGACCACGCCCGGACTTCTTTATGACCAATCTAGTCTGTGCGAGCTCACCTGGGGGTATGAGCTCACTATGAAGAAGGTCTTTTGCTTGAGGACAGGGTTGTGGAATCAAGGGGTTTATTCCCACTTCTGTGATACAAGGGAGTCTCCCCCTGTATATGGGGTGTTAGTCTTTGGGGTTAGGCCCTTTTTGTTGTATCACAGAAGTGGATTCCATTTCCCACAACCCTGCTTGAGGATCCCTGAACTCAGCAAAAAAAAAATGCAGATCAGGTCAACTGAGCCGATGGGTGGGAGTCTCATGCCCGCAGCCACTGAATCCATGCACGAAAGAAAGATGGACCAACTTCAGCCGGAGTACCACCAGCATCCAACTGCTTCTAAGACCTGGCATCCGGACGATTTTCGGTTTTTTGTCATTTTTTCCATATGGCAAAGAGAAGAATGCTTGCTTTGAGTGGCTTTGTGAATCAAACATCGCATGAGCTTGGATCCCAGTCATCTAGTTGGCTTGGTAGTTCCTTTTCGAAGTTACACCCCAAGAAAGTGAATCCAACCTTCATCAGGGGGGATCTGAAAACGGGCAGCCCAGTACGTGAAAACTGACCTACCCGACCCACGCAGCCAAAAAGGCCTAGTTTTTTTCCGCGAATGGATCGGCTGGATGCAGAGATCTCCGCGCTAGAGCGGCTCTGGTCGCCGGGACCATGGATCGAATTCCTGGCATTGCTGGCGCCTTGGCCCATCTCAAAACGTCCACCATGGTGGTGTTCCTGTTGGCTTCCTAAAGCCATCCACAACGGGTACCCTCAAGAAAAGACGTATACGTCCAGTGGCTGAAATGTGTGTTTTTGTGTTGTCCTTGGTTGGTTTTAAAGGGAATTGGTTTCACTCTGGACATACTATATACGATGTTTCCGGGGGGCCGAAAAGCAAGTGGAGGATTGCGGGGCGCCTTTTCTCCGGAGTCTGTTTGCTTGCTGGTGCGATAGCCGACATCCAACTCGTGGTTTTCCTTGGGCAATTCTGGGCTCATTCCATTTCTCGTTCCGAGCGCCAGCAAGCTTTGAGATCCAGACGCGACATCAAAGGGCCATGGAACTCCAGGTGATGACTGCTGAGCGTTCAGGTGAGCCACAAGCTCAAAACCGGGTGGATGAAGGATAGGCAGGGACAATACCATAAAAAGGCTGCGGAGATCCGTCTTCTTATTTCTTTACATGGTTCTGGGTTGACCGGGTTTTGATTGTGACTCAGTTGTTTGGGTAGCTGCAGCTTGACCCACTTCAGCAACAGCCTGTTAAGGGTTGTGGTAAGGGGTTGGTTCTGTTGTTGGAACCTCTTCAAATGGATAAATCATTCGGCATTTGGAAGACCTTCCATTGGTGTCCCCGCAATTCTGCTTATGAGAACGCTCCTTTCGTTTGCGTTCCCTTCAAAGTCACCCGAGGCCAAAGAGTGTCCTGTGCCTTTGTCTCAGGGACCATTGGCAAATTGGGGGCCAAGTTTCAGCTGTTTCAAGTATGGAGAACCACCCCGCCGGGCCTTGTGGTTCACCGGGGTGAAGTTCAACCAACTCCAAGGACACTTCCCAGTCACTGTCCCTAGGTCCCCCAGCAATTGGTGCCCTTTCTCACCGCTTTTTTGGGTTGGGAGGGTTCTTTTACTAAAATAGACAAAGCAGCAAAACTGGTATACTGGAGGACCGGTTCTTTTACTAAAATAGACAAAAAACAGAAAAGAGAGTTGGTACCAACTTATTCTAAGCTCTCAAATCTGGAGGACCTGTGAATGGTTGCGAAATCCATTTCGCACCACCGTTCAGAAACCCTGGAATGATTTTTGATTCCCCAACGTAAATACCAACAAACGTTCTGGTTTCAACCACGGTTTCCAAGTGGTGCGAAGTGGATTTCGCTTCACCACCCGCAGTCCTTGGGCCTCGGGCCTCGGCAAAGCCGCGCGAAACCGAAACGAAACCGCGAGGCCAGCATTCTGAGCAGCTACTGGCTGTTGCGGGTCTGCTCTCCCGTGTCCAACCTTTTGTCGAGCCGACAGCCACGGGCCACAGAGCGATCCAACGGCAGTCACTTCCATTTGCTGAAATGTTTTTTTGCTCTTCTGTTTTATTCTTCTTATTACTAGTACTATTAGTATTATTATTACTAGTACTTATTATTACTATTGCTATTATTATTATTATTATTATTATTATTATTATTATTATTAGTATTATTATTATTATTTCCCCCTGTTGGTTTTAAAGGGAATCTATCACTACTGGACATATTCTTCTTGTTTCCCCCAGAAGCAAAGAGCGCAGTTGTCAGCGCGACCCGGGATGCCTGCTGGCCATGTGAGCCACGTGCAAAAAAGACCCTTAGATGGTTAGCATAGTAATTAAAAGACAATCCCACCAAAAATAGCCGCGGAAGTCCGGCTTCTGATTTCTTGAGGCATGGTGCTGGCCGGGTTTTGATTGTGACTGTGAGAACGCCCGTCCATTTGTGAACCAGGTCAGTCTGTCAGTGAATGTGTCAACCGGTCAGTCAGTCAACCAGTAGTATAGTAATGTGAGCAATGGACAACATGTCGAAAGAGTGGGTTGGTGGTCGGCCGGGTTGAAGTTTAAATATGATATATATATATATATATATATATAAATATACATATATTTTTTCTTCAGCCATGGCTCCCGAATTTGGCTGATTTTGCTTTAGCAATGCTTGTGGCTGGCTATGGGATTGGGGTTCTCAATTGCAAAATTGTGTAAGCAATCATCATCGCCAGGGGGAGGGGCTCAATTGCAAAAACATTCCAAACATGCCTTATTTGCCCGTGGTCTACTTCGGTTCATTTCTTTCCGATGCATCAGGGGGTGATTCCACTTTCGTGGGGATGGATTCTCGATTCATGTATAGCGAGCATTTTGGCAAGCACAGTCAAAGTCATTTTGATCAATCCGGAGTGCACTACAACTATTGGGGCGTTCCCAGATCAAATTATCAGGCACGGAGACATGTTTGTCACTGGCAGGCGTTGTTCAACAATCGATTTCCACTGTCGTCGGTAGAAACGGGTGGGTCATTAGGAGATGGAAACGCTGTAGGGGAGCACCATGACTATTGGCCGTGACTCAGATGGGGCTTCTTAGAGGCTGCAGACCTTGGGTCAGGTGGAAGCGTATTTAGAACACATTGGCCATGTTTGCCGCCCGACGCTGGTGTGTGTGTCCGACACTTGGCCCCTTCGGCACACCCGGCCACGAAGTCTTTCGGTTTCACTTGCGGGGTTCATTGGACGATGGCAAGTAGTTTCAAGTTTTGAGAGGCTTCAGAGTATGTAGTTTGTGGGTGATTAAACTTTCTAAGTGCCCTTGTTTTGTTCCTCTTTTTTCGATCGACCGCTATCTGAAAGCGGAAACACCGGATTCCTCATACGTCTCCAGAAGATCCCCCAAACAGACCAACAGATCACCTTGCAAGCAGACCCCTTTCAGGAAGAAGAAGACAAGCAAAAGCTGGAGGTATCAAGCTTCAATTCCATTCTAACGTGAAGATGCGGTTCTTTTTCAGAAGAAGGCATATCTTGGGGGGGGGGGGTAGCATTTCTATGACTTCCGGTTGACGCGTCAAAGCCCCTTAGGCTTTGGCATCTGGGCCTGGCAGACTTCGTCTGGAGCCCAGCGAAACTCCGCATGGGTTTTCTCGCTTGCCCAAAGCGGAGCGACCTGAGATTTGGACCTTTTGGCTCTGCCCTGTTGGCCCAGTGAAGATGTTTTTTGGCTTCTCCCCCGGTTGGTCCAAAAAAAAAATGGGCCCAAAAGGCGATCACCTTTTTTGCTCACGGGTGCCAAAAGGGC